AGAGGGAATTCAACTGATGGCTTCTTCTACACCTAACAAACATGTGATTAGTTTTCTATTTTGCTTGTGCGTCTAAGAAAGCCAAACTGCAATGCTAATGTTAATGTATCACTTCATACTTTCTCAGATTCTCCTGATTTGGTCTAAGAAAACACTTTGGTCTAAGAAAACACACCTGTTATCATTTTGGGTGCCAAAAATATAAAGACCAGTCTTCCACATTTTCTGTTTAACCCTTTCCTCTTCATACCGTGCAAGTCAAGGGACAATTCTTCAGGAAAAGAATCTAGAACAGTTGCCTCTTTTACAGCCCTAGATTCCTCCCCCTCACTAACAATCCTGTTTGCCTATTATTACCATGGGAACTTCCTTTGTAATGCAATCAGATGGGATCCTGCCCCCTCCCCAAGATGCTAAACAGCCCCAACTCCCTTATAATGATCATTACTACTTTGTCTTACGGTCCCATTATCAAATAGGTATATGAGATGTTCTAAAGAGCTCTAATAAAAGTAACAGAATATGATTTTGAGCCAGGAATAACAGGACATGAAATAGTAATTCAGGTCAATCACCACTGTTCAAAAGTATTTTTTAAATAGAATATATTTCCCATCGAGTTATGTAATACTAATTCCTTTGCAATGAAGGGACAAAAAGCACCAACCTAACAACTGACAGGGAAACTAACGGAATCCCAAGAAATCGAACAAATGAAAGTTATTTTACAATCAGTTTCTAAAAGCTTTGGTTTCATGATGACCAGTTAACCCTGGGAGTTAATCTCAACCATTCAAAATTAGCTTAACTTCAAGTTAGGTATACACAAAGTGTTTGCAAATAATTTTACACTACTGCAAGTCTTGTTAAGTACAGTCACATAAATGTTGGATGATTTTTAAAGCCACATGTCCTTATAGTAGTGTTATGGGCACAGCATTGATCTTCTTACATACAACTATATAAAGTCCTGGGTTTTGTGGCTTTAAAAGTATTTCCAACAAAAAACTTCAAGCAACTAGAAAAATGTAGATGTACCCAGACATACCACGAAAATGACAACATACGGTTTGCTGGTGTGCAAGAGCTTGCTATTTTTAAGCACAGACTGGTTAAACTAAGTAATTGCAAATTCAAGGTTTTAAATGACAATTTAATGCATCGTGTTCTAAACCTGGGCTTTTAATGTGAACATTGGTAGTTTAAAGACTGAGTCTTAAACTACAGTTCTGTGTGGGCTGCAAGCAATAATACTACAATGGAACTTTGGAAGTACCGGCTCTTTGTTATAAATTAATTTGAATCTGCTCTTTTACCATGAGCATAGTTCACCTCTTTTAGACAGCATTGGTCATCAATGGAATTTGTGGTTAGAAAGTTGTGCTTAAGATAGACACACTAATTAAGAGAAGAGCAACAATTTAAAACCTACTGAGTTGCAGCATCCCAATTAGCATCACAGGCGCTGGACCTGTTTCGGGAGGGCACTATTAAAACGTGTAAATGCCATTACAGTCAATGACAGATGCTCATTACCAGACTGACTCTAGCCTAAATTGTAGCTATTGATGAATGTTGACACCAGCTTGCCAATAGTCTTCGAATTAGCCAGGTGTGTTTTTTTTTTTTTTTTGCTAGAACAGTTTTTCACCACCCTAGTAAATTTATCAGCTTACCACAAGGTCAAATGATCACTGGAGCCAACACAAGGCAACATGGCTGGAAGTAAAGGAGGTTGTGGCTTCACAAAGCTCGAGGCCAAATAGAAACCAATATGGCTGAGACTTTCTGATCACAATTCTGAAGGGTAGGTGCAGACAGAAACACTGCAAAGCACAGTATGCAAAACTGGAGTGGGACCAGAGTTCAACCAGTGCTCAGACAGGTAACATTGAGTATTTCATGTGCTATCAAGGTATCCCATAAAGCTGCACAGTATTAGGAAGTACAAGAATAGAAAATCCTGTGAAGTCCAGCCTAACATCTTTAAGAAACAAAACAGCTGTACTTGAAAAAGTAATGGCTCCAATTTAAACCTATGCTGGTCCAAGCAGATATAAATGTAAGCTTAGAGGTTAACTTGATATATTTACTTCAGGAAGAACAAGCTAAGCCAAGATGAAGCAAATAATGCAATAATGCTACTAAACTTCTTGCCTCTTAGCACTATGTGCAACACTTACACCAATCATTCTTCTGGTAACAGTTGCTAATTGAGAGCTGGAAACCAGGGCTGGCGCTATTATTATTCTGCTACTATTCTACTTACTCTTCTTAAATTGCTCTGTCAGGCTTCTGTCACTTGAGACCAGTTCCATTATAAGAGCCATTAGGTGTATTTAGGTATTTGCCAGATAATAGAATAAAGTTCTTAAGCATCAATCCGTACAGATTAGTCTAATCTGTTGCTCCTGGAAACCTTATTTCCAGCAGTAGACAATAGTTTCAAATTACCTACAATAAGGTTAAGCTATGGGCAATATATGTTTTGAGGTAAGAAGAAAAACATAACAGAACTCATTCATTCCCAATACTGTCTTTAACAGATCAGGTAGGTATCTGAATTGAGATTCTAGTTTCTCTAAAAACTATTCCTAATGGATTTGGCTCCATTTAAATTGCTTTATTTGTGAACATTCTCTTAAGTATTTCAAAATGCAGAATACAACAGAAGCTCAGTAATGTTATTTCCTGAATCCAAAGGATGAATAATTAACATTTAAATATTTGATAAAAGTTTGGGTTTTTTCACACAAAAATTGGATTTCCATTCCAATTAAAGATTTTAATGAAGGCAATAACCCCATGAAGTTAAAGACAAAATGGCAAATACCTGTAGTCTGGTTCTAAAGTAATGCAACTTTTCAGTAATACTTTTCAGAAAATAAAGAAAGGGTTTTTATTGAAATAAATCTCCAAAATACCAGCTAAGGACTTAAATCAGATTATCCTTCCTTTTAGCTTTTTCTAATATAAGACTACATAAAATTGTTTTCTATAACCCCTTTTCTCAAACTTACCTTTAATTCTATAGGGCAGCAGATATCATGGATACAAGCATGGAGAAAGGAACAGCAACACTTGGTTTATTCATAACAGGTACAATGTTACCTTGTAAAATCCTAATCTGCATTTTGCAATACCTTGCAAAAACTCAGTGAAGCTACATTGAGTCATCCATTGTAACAACTGAAATGTACAGATGTGCGCTAAGAAAGAGTACAAACTGAAGAAACAGCAGAGCATGTAAGAAGAGAGATAGGAATCAAAAACTATCTGGAAACAGTAGAGATGGATCTTTAAAATTTTAATACCTACCTCTCCTAGAGACTACACTGCAGCAAAAGTAACATGCCACAAAAAAAAAAAAAAAAAAAAAAAAGAGAAAACCAACCAAAAAAAAACCCCAAACCTAACCCAAAGCAAACCAGTCTGTTGTCATTTTATTATTGTTAAACAAGAAAGTGCAAGTGAAGAACACTCTAAATGTATGTGCACTACTAAGACGTTGAAAGAACCTATGGATTATTTCCCCATGTGCTCCCCCTTTCCATTTAGCTGTTATTAGCAATGATAGGTTGATTTCTATGTCCTCAGTGTCCTAACTGACCTCATAGAAGCTGAATGTCTGACTGCAAATGTGCCTAGTGGCTATGGTATATAGATTGAGGATTTTGGCTCAAATTCTTCCTCCAGTGAATATCAAAGTACTTTGTATAAAACTGTTTCCACAAGAAATCTGAAAACCAACGTGACAACTCAGTGGCTAGGCATGCCTTCAATGTGGGATGGTTAGTCTGAGATCTCTATTCTGAATCAGATAAAACCAATCAGATAAGCACTCATGTAATTTCTTCTCCCTGGTTTTCAGCATTTTTTCCTACGTTCTTTTTTTATTTAATCAGATGAAATTATTCAGTTCACTTTGGCCACTGTAAATACAGTTTTGACTCAAAATAAAACTTATTTTTCAAGTCACCTGAGTGGGTGCAATTAACAAAGCTTTATATCTAAAATTCTGGGATTTATGGGTTCTTTCAGGTTTACAGATTGCAATATTATTTAAAGTCAGTGTTTCTGAGGAACCATCAGCCTAAAACAAAGCTATTTTTTCTATAGACAGCTGGGTCCATTTAAAATAAATCTCTAGTAAGAAACACAGCCTGGAATCTTACTGAAGGACACCAGCACTTGAAGCAAGTGCTTAAAGCTCTGCTGAACAAGGAACAGTGTCATGTTCTTACACTGTATAAATACTTACCATGTTTTCCTACATCATGGGAATAAAGAGTTGTTTGGGGTTTTTTCATAAGGATCTCTTTAAGCGTATTACCTTCACGCTGAATAGTAAATATGAGGATAACTAACTTTCAGGTACTGTTTGATAAAAATTAATCCAATGCCCCAAATTAACAACAATGATCTGGATGTCTCATATGGGCCCAACTGATCTGATCCTGTGATATGCTCACTCTGCCACCTATAGATACTAGGGCAACATCCACAATTTATACTTTCAAGAGCAGAGATAACCAAGTTGAAGTTTTGAATAGGCACATAGCTTAAATTAATTAAAATATGATATTAAAAAAGTTATAATTTTCAGCTTCTTTTAACCAAAGAATTGTTCAAGCTGAACAGGCAGTTGAATACTCACCCTTCCATTTGAGATCCTTTTTCTAAAAACCATGTTTGTTATGAAAACTCTCATCTCTATAAATTAGCTATTTGAACTCCAATGTAATGCACAAGGTTTCAGATAGCAACACCTGTTTTGCATATTATATATTTCGGACTCTAAACACACTGTTTTAAACCCCATGAAGTTTTGTTAAGTCATCTCCAGTTAAACTGCAGTAACTTGTATTAGCTGAAAATCTTGTGCAGCCTAGGGTTTGGATTTTTTTAAACTGCAGAAATAGCTACACCTTTCTGAAAATACTTACTAAAATATATAGGAAAAGTTAATTTTTTCTACAAAAAGTAGATTAGAAAAATACTTCAAGTATTTACAGTTTATTTGAATTAAAATTATTATAAACTTTGAAATCTTGATATAATAATTCATAATTAATCTATCATAATTACTTAATACAAGCTATGAAAACTCCAATAATTCTTCATGTCGTATTGTAGTACAACAAACCATCCTTCTTTCTACTCCAGCAGGCTGGAGGTAAAAGTGTTTTTCGCTATTAGAAACTGAGATTCCCGGTGTGATCTTTTCAGCTTTGCACGACGGTTCTGGAACCAGATCTAAGGTTGAAAGAAAAGGCATAGCTGTTCAGCAATACAGCACTTCAGCAGAGTAACCTTTGAAACTTAAAAGATGTTCACATAACTTCACAGTATTTTGTGTAATGACAGTAGTTTGGAAGTTCAGTACAATTTTTAAAGCTGTAGATGAGGGGATGTGGCTACCTGCAGTCATTTTAACACAAAGAAAATCCCCCCCATCTTAACTGGAAAGTGAGGACCAGCTTCACTGTAATTAGCATTAAAAACTAATATTAATTTAAGTGACACTGAATCAGTTGCTGAAATTCACACACAAGTCTTAAGGTATTATTTCTTCAGCTGTTTAATAAACCACAGCATTGAGTTTCTCATCAACCCCAATATAATACTGGCATCAAAAGCTTAATAAACATGAAGCTGAGGCCCAAATTCTCATGTTTATGGTAAGCTCCTTATCATATCGGACTACCTGGAAATCAGGAATTAAAATCCCCAAGTAGACTTTGGTTTTGGCCAATTGAAGACATAGGCTCAAGCACTGCTTTCACTCATGAATGCTTGGACAGTCTCACAAAATACTTAGACATTCATACAAATTATTTCAATATTTGTTTCAACATTGTTTTTCAAATATGGTGACAAGTATAATATAAACAAGATTTGAAAATGTGGAAGCATCCAATCAAGTTCTGCACATGACAACTAGAGATTAACAGAGCAGATATCATGGAAATACTAGTGATTAAAACTTCATCAACACTAAGGAAGAAGGTTTAAGATTTCTGAAGTAATTCAGTGGCTTCTCTTTCACAAATCACTGAAAGCATACACATGTGTAGACACACATTGTTTTAAATCAAGATTATTAAAATGATTGCTACTGCTCTCAAACTATTTATTTCTGTAATAAGAGTAGATGAAATTACAGAAAAGTTCAAATAAATTTTAATTACCTGGATCCTGTCTTCATCTAAATCTAACTTGCGAGCCAGCTCTTCTCTAATGTCAATGCCAGGGTAAGAGTTCATTTTGAAAACATTTTCCAAGACTTCAATCTAAGAAGATCAAAACACACTCATTGAATAGTTACCACTACCTACATAGCAGTAAGAAAGAAAATAAATACAAAAACCAGTTCAGTTTGTTTAACAGGAGACTTCCCAGCAATGTTTGCACAATTCTGGTTCCATGCATAGACAGAGGTCTCCTGAAACAACACTACTGTTAATTTACACTAGTTCTTGATTGCATTTCTCTCTGCAGAAATACATCACACTGAATTAGGCAGCTATTATAGGCTTCTATCAACATGTTACTGAACTACATTATCATTCTTTTCTTAAACGCTGAGAAAATCCCTACCTGGTTTCTAGTGAATGCAGTTCTTGGTCTTCTACCCCTGTACCAGCTCAATTCTCGTTTGAAAGAAAGCCTGTCGGTGACTGAAAGATATTTTTCACATTTCAGAACTTTCTCCTCTTGCACTGGATTACTGTTAGCATGAAATAATGGATTTTCATAGCAAACAACAGGGACTTGCAGATGGGGATTACTGTCATCACCTAAAACTAGAAAAAGCAAGCAAACAAGAGTTTCAGTTTACTGGGTTTTAGTAGAAACATGAAAAGATATCCAATTTTAAGGGAGTAAACGCTTGAGAGCCTGCTGACTTACCCAAGTTGGTGCATGCCTCCATCCATGGTCTGTGAGGTTTCACAGCTGGAATACCATCTTTTTTCTGCTCCAGTCCCAGAATACTTTCAATGGAAAATGAGCACTGTGTGGGTTTATTTTCTACAAAACCAGACCCCTTCCGAAGGTTCTGAGAGGCAGCTGTGTTAGCAGCATTCAGCGAGGTGCTCGCCATGCCTTCACCTTCAGCCAGCACAGCAGGTATACTGTACTTGCATTTCTCCACCAGTCCTCCTTATAGCTATGCTGAGAAGGGGGTTGGATTTGCAACGTCATTAATTCAAATCTTTTATTAGAAAGTTTTAGCATGTCAATGCAAACTCTGCCACCGAAAGGCACGAGCAGTTAATTGTTTATTTGTTTGCAAGTAATTAGCAACTAATGGTGACACTGAGGGGCCACCAACAGGGACAGAAAGTGTTATCTCTCCTAACCAGAGCATCGACTTAACTTTCCCAAAAGAAGCTGTGCACAAATATAGTACTTCTCTTTTATTTGAAATCATTAATGTATAAAATCAGTTTTTTAAAAAAACTTTATACTCTAATGGACTCCACTTACCTAAACACAGCAGCGTGATAGGAAACCAGTCAAGTAATAAGTAATCTCATTTAAGTGAATTTCCTTCCAAGGAAATTTAAAAAATAATCTCTTAATGCTATTAGGGTAATCCCGATGAAAATGCCTCTGGTTTTTCATATGCATATGTAATGGTGAACGTGGTCAATAAAACAACAATAGCTTTTGGCATAAGGCACCTGCAGTGGGTTGGGAATGTTGTCAAAGCTCAGTGTAATTGCCTTCCAAGTGCCTGGATTAGTTAACAGGAACAGTTGCACCAACTATTTTAAATAATTCATGCATTCATTTTTCCTATTAAAATAACTTTGTTGCAGCTTTTTTGAAACATACCATATGTGAAATTTCCTGGTCCTTCTTTACAATATAAAAACAAAACTTATACCAATAGAAGCAGTACACTCAAATGTACTGATTTTAAAACCCCTTTTTACTGCTAGATGTTCCTTCCCTCTTGTAATTTTATAACCAATAAAAATCTATTTAAAACCTACTGTGTGAACACTTAAAATGACTAAAAACCATGAGTAAGGGGAGGAAAGGAGGTAAAGGTTTTGTAGTGAGTTTCAAAATTGGAAAACAGAATTCTGATTTTATTCATTATAGACAAAGTACCAACTAAAACATATCCAAGCTCTTCCATCAGCCGCAGCAGCTTACATGTCACATGTTCAAAACCAGCTTTTGGTCAAGCAAAACATCTCTGAAGAGATTCCTCCTTATTTTGGACAAAGCTTTGTTTTGTAATATGCAAAAATGAAAAGAGTATTTTGATTTCAAGATGCAAAAGTTATCTCTCACATAAAACTTAATTTGGAGCACATGATGTAGGAGCACAGGAGCACGTAGAAGTGTACGCTTTCAGAGCAAAAATATGGCCCTCTGTTTCCTGTTTTACCATTTTCTCACACTAGTTTATTCTGTGTAATCAGTCACATTCACATGGCTAAAGAAATAAGCTGTACCTCTGCTTTGATTTTCTGTACGCTGTAAACAACCCAAGACTCATCTTGAGGAAAAGACAGAAGCAGGACAATTGCTAAGGAAATGGCATGGTCTAGAATTGACAGTGTGCTGTGGGAGATTCCACAGAGAAAAAAAGGCAATTCATATGTGGTTTTATATCAGAAAGATATTCAAGTTGATGAGTGTTGACTTACTGGACTGATTTTGCACTGTGCAAAGAGATGGTTGTCAAACCAAACTATCAAAAAGGGTGACAATTCATAAGTGATCTTACCAGGGACACCTTCTTAGCACTTATCAATGGATATAAAAGTGGCATCAATGTAACAGCAGCGGCCACCGATAAGCTGAGCTCCAATCAGCATTTACCAGCCTCAGCAACCAGGAAGTCCATCTATACAGAAAGGCCATAAGGACCTATGTATGAAACCACTGCTTGCTGGAATGTTTTGGGAGCTGGAGGTGAGTGGGGAGCAGTGTTAAGCAAGGGCCTTGCAGCCCTTTCTATTTCAGTACAGCTGTTCCCAACACAGCAACCCATGACCTTGACAGAGCAACAGCACCTCTTTTCTTGACTGCAGGCGGGTATTTTGAATATTCTGACTCCACACCAGGTCCAGAGAGTACTACGACAATGCAAAGCCGTGATTGGTAGACCAGTTTTCTGCCTGTATAGTCTCTAACACAGACACCAGGGTAATTAATGATTATAATATAAATAGCTAGTTTCCAAATACAGCCCACTGAGTTTTTTAAAAGAACTTAAAACCCCAGCACAAGCACTGATACAAAACACATTTCAGAAAATACTTATTTCTCCTGGATGAATATGAATGAATTTAACCTGAGCTAAGACTCAGATTACCACACACTTCAAGCCCTGCAGTGGCAAATAACCTTCATAGATACTCTCTTCAGGAACCTGTCAAGAACTGTCAATAAAGGCAGGCATATGTAGTATGAGAGACATCTATGAGAGGCAAAACTAACCATTAATTTAAGCAAGTATTATATATTTTAATATTATTATTATTATTTTATGGAAAAATAATTACTCAGGGTAGTCTGATTTTAGCTCCCAGTTTGAAACAGTAATTCTTTCAGAGTTTTTTAATAACTTTCAGGGAAAAAAGATCCTGGTAGCACTCAGAATTTTCATAAACTAGTCCAAACCCAGTTAACTCATTTGCTGGGCAAGGTCAGACATTTACCAACACTGACTGCCATCTGGTGTTAGGGTTTGCCAGAGCTTAAGCTCCTTCAGCAGTTCTGAGAAATGTGTTATTATTAAAATAATTTGCTTAATGGTGAATTTAGTCAGACCTGGAGACTGCAATGCAGTCACTGAAACATATCAACACTCCTCTTTTTAAACAGAGTTCGTGGCTGTAACTGCATATAGAACAGGAAGCAGGAACTCAGAAGGTCATAAGATAGATGCTCACACTATGCTCTCTCACTTCTGAGCAATTCAATGGAATTGGCAACGCCCTTTATCTAAGAGCTTTACAATGCTAACACAGCTCTACATAACTGTTCATAAAAAAAATTCACAGGAAAAGTTATTCTAAAGATAAGTTGGCATTACACCAAAATTCAATTCTGTCCCTCAGTGTTCAAGCTCAGGTTGGATGGGGCTTTGAGTAATCTCATCCAGTGAAAAATGTCACAAAGTGAGGTTGGAATTAGATGATCTTTAAGGAGCCCTTCCAACGCAAGCCATTCTATGATTCTAAAACAACATTTATGTAGAGATAAATTTACTAGCAAGTCTGGCTGAAGGTCTAGCATTCAAAAGTTGCCAGCTTTCCTTGAAGCATGCTTAGTTGTAGAAGAAATCTATTTGCTATCAAGATAAACAGTCACCAAAACTTTCTTTAAGAAATCAGGATGAAAGTATATTTTCCACAGTGCAGAAAGCATAAAGTTTTAGATCTAAGAACAGCTGTTAGTAAAGAATCAGGTGAAATTCCCAAGAATTTCCATTGAAAGTGTAAATATGCCTTGAGCCTTCATTCGGAAACTATATATCATTGATTTGGCCCATTAGGTATGACCAATACTTCCTTTGCAACCCTCATGAAATTACCTATAGAGTTAAATACCATTGTAGGGGCAATTAGAGCAACACAACAAACATTCAGTTGAAATCCTAAGTAATCAATAATAGGAGAAATCAGTGCTCTTTGGATATGCAAATCCAATCCTCTTACAGCATCACATACCTGATGACACAGCAAACTAATCTCTCTTTCAGATGTTGCACCACTGGTTTTTTTGCCCAGGGACAGTAGAGTTCATCTGTTTAAGTAGGTGAAAAGCTCTTGTTCTTTAAAGACTCTGTTTATACCAGAGTATGAAGAGACCACACCAAGAGTTCTCTGGGTCTGAAACCCCAATGTTTACTACTCCTGCCTTTTGCTGTTCTCACCCATTGCTAGTCCACTGCTAGGTCACCTTCTCACAGTGGCTTGTGCAGTATTTTCAGCTTTTTAAAAGGGTATAAAGGGTATATGCAATCTTTCTTGATTATTTATCATGCTCAAGAAAGTTGCCTTTCATCTCACTTTTCCAACAGCTTCTTTACCCCGCTGCACTAGTATTTAACCACCTCAGATATTCTCCCTTTCAAATATGATTTGAACATGTATAACAGAGATTATATTTCAATCCAACTTCAATATTCAAAAGGTTTTTTAGGCAAGAATAACTCAAAATGGTTAATCCCCAATTTTCACAAAACATGACTAAAAACAGTTAGCTATTTCTTGGCTGAAGTAAACGCTATTTTTAACCAGACAGATAAAATGGGCACAGAGAAACTCAAGGTAAATCCGAGAGTGGCACTAGCAACAGTCTTAGAAACAGTATGTTAAACAGCAGGTAATATGCAAATAAAGCCTACCTTATCCAGACAGCTTCACTCTCCAGCAGAAGCAAAATCTTCTTTCCATTAAGGGACACATCTAGAATTTACTAAAGAGTCCTTGGCTGCTCTTCTCCCTGTTTACATAGTGCCACGTGTTAGCCCCCCACATTTTCAAGGCCTCTTAGTATTCTGCAGAAAGAAAGATGAAAAACCAAAACAAAACCACCCCCAAAGAAAACCACCCAATCCCACAAATCCAGACCCCAAACAAAAAAAATACCTCACACAGCAACAAAAATCCTGCAATGCCAAAAAAAGCGTGGCACTAAAACCACACTTAGAGGGTTCAGTGGGATTCTTCAGTTCCTTACTATCAAGTCTCATCTGCTGCTGTCAAATTTGTATCTCAAAACTTTTGGATTCCTTTAAACATTTGTTTAAAAAGTACACAAAAGGTGAGAACAAGGCTAATAATATCTTACAGAAAGCTTCAACATAAGGCATCTATTGCCAAAGGTGACTACTAATTCAGAAAAGGCCTGGTATACTACTAAATTATTACAAAGATCCCTGTCATGCTACTAAGCCAAACTGAATTGTGAAGATCAATAAAAACGAGACTCATGTTTGTGTTATGTGCCAGCTAAGCTACCAAAGCACATTTCTACATATTAAAAATATTTGCTTTTATGTTTTCTTCTATAAAACCATTAATTCTCAGAGAGCTGTTCTCTATTCATAACAGCCAAAGAAATGTTTGGGGTTTTTTTCCCCTATCACTTACACCTGTAAATATACAAAACTAACAAAACTTGATTCTTTTTAAAGTTACTACCTTCCTCAATTCTGCTAGGGAAATGCATATTGTAGAACAAAAGAGAGCATTTCTTACAGAACATCCCAGTAAAACTTCAAGTTAACTGTCTCAAAACCAGAAAGCTATGCATAGGTCATGGACCCATGCTAGTGTTCTCTCACATAATAATTTCAGATACAAGACTTGGTCTTTAAAATACCTGGTATGATAACTCTGCGTTATTATCCTCATGGGACAGGGAAAGAGAGAAGTGGTGTGACTTGCTTCAATCAGGAGTCACCAGCTGAGCTGCTATATAAACTGAACGAACAGAGCTGCAACTTTCGTCACCACTGCTTCCAAAAAAAAACTCCAAACTTGAACCAAACACTCACCCCTCATGTCCTTCAATTGTTTTGTAATTTAATACAAGCCTTTTCCTGCTTTTAAATGTAAAATATGATCCGATACAACATAAAGAAAGGTCTCTATAGCAATACTGCACAAGAGTTAATTATTTGCTTTGCCAGATAACTTTGTGTACTTTCTAATCTGGCTTTATACTAAGTTCACCTAGCCCCAAAACAGAAAAAACAGCAAACAAACATCTGCTTCTTTCTTTACTGTAAAAATAAATGTACCTAAAAAGTTACAAATCATCTATTAAAATGCAGAATTAAGTATCATGAAGTAGTTTCAATGTTGAATCGGGTCTCAATTTCAAACATGATGTACAATTTGTTAGTTTTAAGAGAGAGAACTTTATGCAGCCTCTTGTTTGACACACAGTATATTTTAAACTGGTTTTAAATGAATGGAAATTTAGACAGATATTCTTGATGAGCAATTTGTACATACTCAGTGCCTCCTAAGGGATGTACTTGTAAAATATGAATTGCTTCATGTGCAGGAGTAATGTAAAGTGCAGTAACTTCTGTCAAAACATAATTACAGAGGACAACTGAGGAATATGCTTTTTTTTTAAAGAGCTCACAATGATCTGGTCCAATTCCAATGAGCCCTCACTGTAGTTTTAAGCATTTAAAATTGGTCACAGACCTATAGCAGCAAACTTCGCTAGTCTAAGAAAATAAGGAGTCTATTAGAACTGATTATACTCTTGGTTACGAAGGTGAAAAATTGCAGTCAGCAAAGGTTCTGGTTTTAAGACTGGAGCTTGGCTCACCTGGACGTTCTGAGGTTGTTATCTGGTAACAAAAATTACCGAGTAGCCAGGGATAGAAATACTGCCTTAATAAAATCCCTCGTGGATGGTAATGAAAGACCCGACAGAGACAACAGAAGGCTTAGCCAAAGGGATGCTGCAGGTGACAACAAAGGGTACAAACGACGCTTCTGTCAGGGCAGGATCACCACAGTTAGTCCCACCGTGAGTCCGCCCTCAAGACAACTGTCCTGAGAAGCCTGCGGCACCAGGGCAAACAGGTCCAGTTGGGCGGAGGGAGCTGTAACACCGAGCAAGCTTTCTTGCCTTTTCCCAGCCGCCTTGCTTGACAACCGCCGTCGGGCAAGCACCTCAGCGTGCAGCCGGCCCTGTCCGCCCGGCCCGCGCTCACCTCCCCGCGCTGCCTCAGGCCGCCCATCTCCCCTCCCCGCTCTAATGGAGCGCGCGGCGCCTCACACGGCCGCGCCTCTCTTCTCTACGGGGAGCGCGAGCCCCGCGGCGGGACCGGAAAGCCAACGCCTCGCTCCCACTCAAAGGCGCGACGCTCAGCGCCGACAGCCCCGCGCTCGGGCGCAGGCAAACAGGCGCAGCCGCTCACCAATAAGGAACCGCCAGGCTGGAAGAGAGAGCCAATAGCGAAGCCAAGCGGGGGGGGCGGGACATCCGGCGCGCAGCAGGCGGGGGTGGCGGTGTTGTGGCTGGGGCAGGGGAGGGCTCGGCGGGGTGCGGGGGTTGGAGGTGCAGCAGTGGCGGAGTCAGCCCGGCCGCCGCCATGCCCGGCATTGACAAGCTCCCTATCGAGGAGACGCTGGAAGACAGCCCCCAGGTGAGGCAGCCCAGTGCGGGGCGGACAGATCGGGCTAGGCCTGCCCTGCGCTGCGCCCTTTTCGCTCCCTGCTCCCGTGTACCGTCGGGGGATGTTGGAGAGCCGTCGCGGCGGCTGGGAGGGAGGCGGGGAGGGGAGGCCCTTCCCGACAGCTGGGCGGTGGGTCCGCGTGTGGCCAGGTGCCTCCTGTCCGCTTTCCTCGTGTCCCGGGCGCGGGGTCGGAAGCCGCTCGCTGGGGCTGCCCGTCTGACAGTGCTCCAGAAGGTGCGTCCTGTCCGCACCCCGGCGTTCTGCCGGGTGCGCGGCTGGCTGGTGGGCTTGGCAGAACAGCGAGCTCGGTGCGGGTTTTCCAGAGGCACTGGGCTTCGGCGTTGGGGTAGTGACTCGGCCTCAGTCCCTTACATCAGCACCCTGTGTCTGCTGTCATGGTTTGTTTTGTAGAACTCACGCTGGCAAAACCCGTCTTCACTTCTCGAGACGATCTTTCTTATCGCTGTCTTTTACTGAACACACATTAAGGTTCAATAGATACGTATGAAAAGCAGTTATCGGATGAGGTTATGGTGGCAGTTGTTAGTGCTGTGAGTAGGTGGGAAATGCATGGTGCTGAGAGGCCTTTACCTGCTCTGATGTCTTCTGTTCCTGCTGTTTGACCTTTGTCAGTGATGCCATATATTGTACTGGCATTCCTTTCATGCTGCTGGTAAGCAGGAAACTTTATTCAGTTGTAGTGGTTTCTCTTGCTGGCAGCAACAACAGCGAGTACTTTGTACCACTCTTCCTAGATGGAAAAAGAGTTCATAGTATGTTTTCTTTTATTACAGCCTCTTAAATTAAAATCCTTATTTTACTGCAGTTTATGTCAATGAGCAAGATGTCCTATATGTAATACCATATGTGTTGGTTTGATTCATCAACCATAGGAAGAGAAACTTTCACTTGCTTAAGAGGGATTTTAACCACGGAAATGACAGCCACTTTAACAAACCTACATCAAATGGAAGTACAACCTCAAAAAGGCAAGAAAAGGCAGCCATGCAGAAAGTGTGTCATTGCTTGTAAAGGGCTGTGTCCCAGGTAGCTGAACTACTAGACATTAGGTTTAGCCTGCAGTATGGTCTGTGGCCTAGAGGCTAAACCTGATGCGCTCTCATGAAGAGGAAAAAAACCTTAGAAAGTGTTATAATAATAGTAATGTAACAAAATTATCTCTTGAAAGTCTGTTCTTAGTACATGGAAGTCAGAATTACTCATATTTATAGGAAATGTCAAATGTAAGATAAACTTAGGGTTCCTAGAAAGTGGGATATAGGAGGCTTTTTTTCCAGGCACTTAAGAGTGAAGTGCTGTTTGGGAAGCAAATGCAAAGTAGCTACATATTGGAACATAATTATAAATTTGAAAATCTTCCATTGGAGGTTATTTGTAATACAGACTAGCAAAGCCTAATGCAGCCCTATGAGTTTTATTTGCTTAAACTAGTAGATTTTCCAATAGCTTCTATTTTAGGTACAATATTTTAAATCTCTTTCAGTCAAGCTAGTGTTTCAGGTGAAATCTGGGTAACTGCCTCCTGGAAGAACATAAGAAGGACTCTGTAGTCATCTATTGCATTAGCTCATTTCTGTTATTTTGAAATCAGTGCAATGAAAATGGCAACAAATGTTGCTCAAAGAAGGAAAAACCATAGTTTTCTGTAAGAGCTGCCATGACTTTCTGATTGGTGTATTTGTGCTGTAATATTGAAAAAGATCATCAGACTAGGTTGTTTAGTGCTGAACCATGCTCTGCAGTTTTGCACCTTTAACAAGGTTTCATACACTTACTTTCAGGCTTATAAACATATCAAACTTGGTCTGTATGTGAGGGAAGGAGAGGCCTTTCTAAGATGCAGACCTCATTCGTTTTCTCTTGTAGCAGGATAAAAATCCAACCACTGTGTTTTTAGACATGAACCGAATGCCAAGTTTACATTGTCTTTTGCAATGCAAAGCAGTGCAATTTAAATAGTAACTTAGGACATATATTACACACTTATTCAGTGTTATATATATATATATACGCATATATATATATATTCTGCTCAGACTTAGTTGCATTCCCAAAGCATTGCACAATAAAAAAGCCAAGAGACTTGATCTGCCTGGACTTGTGGAAAGTGTTTGACACTGTCCTACATGACATCCTTGTCTCTAAATTGGAGAGACATCAATTTGATAGGTGGACCACTCGGTGGATAAAGAACTGGCTGGATGGCCGCACACAAAGAGTTGTGGTCAATGGCTCAATGTCCACCTGGAGACCAGTAACGAGTGGTGTCCTTCAGGGATCAGTGTTGGGACCGGTCTTGTTCAACATCTTTGTTGCTGACATGGACAGTGGGATTAAGTGCACCCTCAGCGAGTTTGCCGATGACACCAAGCTGTGTGGTTCGGTTGATACGCTGGAGGGAAGGAATGCCATCCAGAGGGACCTTGACACGCCTGTGAGGTGGGCTGATGCCAACCTCATGAAGTTTAACCATGCCAAGTGCAAGGTCCTACACCTGGGTCGGAGCAATCCCAGGCACAGCTACAGGCTGGGCAGAGAAGAGATTCAGAGCAGCCCTGCGGAGAAGGACTTGGGGTTGCTGGTCGATGAGAAAATGAACATGAGCCGGCTTCAGTGTGTGCTCACAGCCCAGAAAGCCAACCATATCCTGGGCTGCATCAAAAGGAGCGTGACCAGCAGGCCGAAGGAGGTGATCTTGCCCCTCTGCGCTGCTCTCATGAGACCTCACCTGGAGTATTGTGTGCAGTTCTGGTGTCCTCAACACAAAAAGGACATGGAACTGTTGGAACAAGTCCAGAGAAGGGCCATGAGGATGATCAGGGGACTGGAGCACCTCCCATGTGATGATAGGCTGAGAAAATTGGGTCTGTTCAGCCTCGAGGAGAGAAGGCTGCATGGAGACCTCATAGCAGCCTTCCAGTATCTGAAGGGGGCCTATAGGGATGTTGGGGAGGGACTCTTCATTAGGGACTGTAGTGACAGGACAAGGGGTAATGGGTTCAGACTTAAACAGGTGAAGTTTAGATTGGATATAAGGAAGAAGTTCTTTCCTGTTAGGGTGGAATGGGTTGCCCAGGGAAGTTGTGAATGCTCCATCTGTGGCAGTGTTCAAGTGCAGGTTGTACGAGGCCTTGGGTGTCATGGTTTAGTGTGAGGTGTCCCTGCCCATGGCAGGGGGTTGGAACTAGATGATCTTAAGATCCTTTCCAACCCTAACTATTCTATGATTCTGTAGTACAGGCTGTATCTCATTTCACACTGCCATACAGATGATGACATGGAATGCTTAAGAGCTCACTGACTTTGAACAAGGTGGTTTCTTCATGGAGCTTATTACTGGTGGTTTCTTCTGTACCTGCTCACATACATGGGCTGAAAGCATCTTAACATGCAAAATGATGCAAAGCTTTACTAGAAACATAAGTAAAAAATTGCTCTATTTTTATTTTTTTTTTGGCTAAGCAGTAGTCTGCCCTAACTGGTTTACAGTTTCAGGTTATTTGCTTTCCATCAATATAAATCAGTGTCAGTTTGAAGTCTGGACATCAATAACTTTATATTTTTACAATAAAACATAGAAATGCTGTTGTTCTACAGTGTTTGGTTTTAAAGAGTAAGCGTAATCCAGAAACCTTGCAGGATATTCTTTTAAAATGCCATCTTCCAAGTTTATTGATGTTGAAGTTGGAAGGTCATCGGTATATAATTCAGTGGTTATGGTACTATGTAATTTTTTGTGTTCTTTCATGTATGTCTCTTTTAATGGGAGAATCTCAGCTATTAGGATGACACATGTTGCCTCACCTGGCAAACATGAGAGTTCTCCTCCACCTCTTTTCTCCTCTGTCCACCTTTTTCACTTGTTTTATAAACTAAAACCACCATTAAAGTGATATATTGATGATCCTGTTAAAATATTTTTTTAATTATTATTAGTTTTAATTTAAGTATCTTGTGGGCATTGTGTGCTATGATGAAACAGCCAGGCATCTAATTCAAGTTAAATAGAAGAATTTAATGTCAAAAGAATGATCAAATAATATATGTTGTAGAAGTTTAATATGTATTCCTTGATTATCATTAAAAGCAGAAAATAAGTAGCTGAAAAAGACCTCTGTGCTTCAAGGGGAGATGGAATAGAGTATAAGTCATTCTAAGGCGAGTCTTTGACATAGAAAGAACTTCTAATAATAGAACGCCAGCATTCATGCACAGTGTGATCCAGCACTGTGAACTCAGAGAGGTTTTCCTGATATCTGGACTTCTGTCAGTCTTTCATTCTTTTCCCAGGTCCCATAAGTTCATTCTCTTCCTCTTTGAGGGAACTATAGAAATTTAGCCTAGGGATGACTAAGAAAGAGAATTTACAATTTCAGGTGTTTAATGATCATAACTTTTTTGGGGAAAAAAAAACATTTATGTACCTTGTAATTATTTCCATTTTTGGTCTGGACGTTAATTTTAGCATAAACCTAAAACCAAAGCACAGTCCTCCTGCTAAAATGTTACTAAAGGGCTTATTTTGTGGGTCTTGTAAGCAACACTCCTGTTTCTACATCCAAGCATCCCAACCAATATTTTTAATTAGGAAAAGCAAACGTAGCCTCTGCAGAGTTACAGGTAACATGCTTTGTTGTTTCTCCTTTGGGTTTTTGTCTTGGGGGAAGGAAGCTATTCAGTATCCTTGTGGTGAGGATACTTGAGTAGCTTGGTGGATAACATTGCTTCCAAGGGTAAAAAGGATACAGGAAAACTGAATCAGCATCTCATGTAAGCCTAAGGGCCAAATTATGCCTGAGCAACCTGATTTCTTTCTCATCCAGAGTCAATCATTTCATCATAGGGAAGAGCAGTGGATGTCACTCACCTTAAGCAAGGATTCTGACATGGCGTCTGGTAACATTCTTCTCCCTAAATAGGGAGGTACTGATTGTGAGTTGGGTGGAAAAACTGGCTGGACAGTTGTGCTTAGAGTAGTGATGAGTGGCTTGAAGACTAATTGTTGGACAGTGATGAAGAGGTTGATTTTTGAGGTGGATACTGTTAAGAACCTTAATCAGTGTTGTGGGCAATGCAGGAGGATGCATAGTCATTGAGTTTGTGGGTGGCACCAGCGAAGAAGCAGACTGACACAAGCCGGGGTATGGACAAAAGGAAAGATCTTTTCACTCTGTTTCACCATGGAGTGCTGAGGTGGAGACAAGTGTATCTTAAGAACAAGATGCAGATTGTCCTGTTTTGGTTTGGGTTTTAGTTCCTTAGCTTTTTGATCACAGAAGTGACTGTTATTGCACAGGTAAATTACAGGTCCATGCAGCCAGCAACTGTCTTTATGCAGGATGGATGGTAATCAGGAAGCCACAGCCTGTGTTTTGATCTCTCAGCAGAAGAAATGTGTATACCTGGCATGCTGTTTAATAGCAGTCATCTTTACCCTTTTCCTTAGGGATATACCATAATGGGTCCAGTAGGTGCCCAGAGTTACAACTTATTTTGCACTTACACATCTCTCTTGGTCCTTTCCTTTCTGAAAATGTGGTTGCATGGACCTAGAGAGAGGCTGACAGTAGGAGTAAGGTTGAGCTTTGGTATCTTTAAGATTCTGTGGCATGCAACAGGTATCATCCCTGTCAACAGTGCTGGAGGGTTTATAAACCTTTTAGTAATGAAACCTGAAGCAATGCTATTGAACTTTGAAATTCTCTTACATTTAAATGCTGCTTTTCTAACTTGACGTGTGTTTTGGCTGTTTGATTTTCACAGACCAGGTCTTTGCTGGGAGTATTTGAAGAAGATGCTGCTGCAATTTCCAATTATGTCAATCAGTTATTTCAAGCCATGCACAGGATATATGATGCTCAGGTAGTGTTAATTAAATTCCTGAATACATCCTAAAGCTTTTGAACCCCATTTCATGTCTCTTGCTTTTGGTTTTTTTTTAAAATATTATTAGAAGCAGTTTTTTTTTTTAACTTCCGTATTCTTTAAATGTGGAACTGAAATAAAATGAAATAATTTTTCTGTTTGCTAGGGAGTGGTAAAGATAAGTTCTTGTAATTTTCAACAGAATTTGTTATGACCAGTAAAAAGTTTTTTCTGGTCTTCTAGTAGTTCTGTTGTATTTCCCCAGTGTTTCCCATTGCGATCTTATTGTGTATAGTATGTACCAAGTGGGAGGTTATTTCTTACCCAGAGTATGTTGATGTTTTCACTCGTCATCTATAAGTAACTGCACTTTCATGCCAAAGGCAGAACTGTTTTTTGTGGTTCTCTGAACAACAGAGTTTATGGCTGTATTTTTAATTTGTATACACTGGAACCGATTGACTTTTTGACTGATTTGGTATTCTTGCTTTTCATATTTTTATGCTATTGTCATTTTTACTTTAATGACTACTGTGTTTATTGTAGTTTTGCTGCCATGTAGTTTTATTTTCCTGCGTTTCTATTTTGTTTCTAATTTCTGTGCTTTCTTCTTCAAGTGCATCATGAAAGATGCAGTTATTCCATACCATGAATCTGCTAATTAGGTCCTGCTTGTGTACAAGTACAGAGGAGTTAGTAATCAGGTAGTACTGAGGTTCATTTTCCTTTACAGAGGAAAGATTCCTCATACTTAGTAACTAGGGCAGCTAATTTAAAATAATTAAATGCAAATGTACACTGCATAACATGAAGAATACAGAAATCAGTGCACATAGTACAAGGTGTGAATTTGGTGTTTGTAATGACTGATTACCTGCAACTGTCAATGTTGTTAGAGAAATGGAAGAGCAGGATGCTTTAGGTTTTTATGAAGATCTGTAGTCAGATTTCAAATTCCATGTGTGTAATAGTTTCTTCTTCAAACGTTTTTTTAATATTGATTTAAATTAACAACTAACAAGCTTGGGGTTTTGCTCTTTTTAAATCAGAATGAATTAAGTGCAGCAACTCATCTGACTTCAAAGCTTCTGAAGGAATATGAGAAACAGGTACTGTGTAAATCATTGTTGTCTTTGTGTGGTCAGGACTATGTATTTTTGTAGTCTTTTATCTCCCAGAACACAGTGTAGAATGTATTTAGGCTTGATCTAGATAAAATGAACCTATGTAATTGGTGGCTCGAATCTTTGCCAAATCTACTGTCTTCATATTAGTTCTTCCAAATAAAATAGAATGAAGTTCCTGTTACCATGATGAGTATTAGTAAGTTCTGAAAGATTTTATTTTCGGATCACTGTTTTGGGGGTTGCTTAGGATGTTGGTGGTGTTTGATTTTTGTTTTATGAACCTGTTTACTGTTAAGGGCTTCAATTTTACTAGTCACACAGAGAAGAGACTGCATAGCAGTCTCCATTTAACAACTGTAATTTACTCTCTTTGTGAAAATAATTCCATCCCTGAAAGTGCAGGTAGTGAAATCCGTCACGTACTCCACAGGTACCTATGAAGGTACTCCAGTTGCAGCTTTGCTGCAGGTACCCTTTTCCTGAGCTCCTCCTTTAAGGAGGCTGGTGTTCCCTATCCTCATTCTCTACCTAATGAGGTGAACTGGAAAGAATACTTTTTATAAATTATTTTTGGTTGATGAGACTTTCTAGAGGGGTGAGATAAGCTTAAAAATACACAGTGTTTCAACTGGATTATTTCTTTTTCAGTAGTGATCATTTTGATCATGCTCTTGTCTCCATCAGAGCATTATAGAAGTAAACTCTTTTGGATGGTTTAAAAATTTCACACAATTTAACAGCTCAAAGTTTAAGTTGAACACCAAGTATTGCTTAATTTTTGATAAATTATGTGAAAAGCTGCATAAAATTTTCATAGATGCCAAGGCTGTAAATTTCCTGTTTTGTTTTTTTTTAATAAATTCTATTAACTAATTTATAAAATCGTTTAAGTTCATGTATTTTAATTTTTTTTTTTTTTAATGGGAGTTGAGACATGATTAATACAGTTTTGTGAATGGCAGGAAACACTGCAAACAAGTCTCCTTTTCCTTTCTTCCAGCGTTTTCCATTAGGGGGAGATGATGAAGTGATGACTTCTACTCTACAGCAGTTCGCAAAAGTGATAGATGAGGCAAGTGCTTGTATTCGTTTCACTTACTTACTAATGCTTTCTACTAATTACTAATACATAGACTTTAGCTTGCTTAATTATCCCATCCTTTTTCAAGATAGGTGATACAGAAATGGCTTTAATTTCTCAATAAGATACACTTCATTGTATATTGCAGCATCTACTTAAAGTTATACGACCTGAAGATAAAAAGAATCAGTTCAGCAAAAGAGAAAGAATGTAGGTTCACTTCCTATAGACACAGCCAAAACCATTACAGAATGGTAGTTACAAACAGTTTTTCATGAGGGTATTTATATTGCCTGATTTTTAGGTGCCTGACTGACAAAGGAACCTCCTGCTGTCAGTATCAGAGACAGAAACTGACTCTTATTAAAGGAAATTTGGCATCATTAAGATCTGAATCAGGATTTCTTGATGTGATTTCTCTCTTTACATTTTTAACACTACTTAAACATTTTGGGAGGAGGAACATGTTTGTTCTACATCTGTAAGCTGTGAAAGATAGGCTGTGATGTAGCTGGAGGGAAACCAGAGAAATAAACTGACTAGTCATCAGAATGTATGAGGCCATCTTCTAATGTGATCCAATAACTTGTAGTAAAGTTGCAAAAGTAGGGACAAATACTAAACTCTAAAATGAGTCTCCTATAAAAAGCTACTGGTGAGATCACGAATCTACAGACGAATACCTGCAAAAACATGAATGTGTAAAATTATGCTTTAGTTGTACATGTATTTTTTGAATGAAATTGATGTCAGCCTACCTTGATTTGATTTGTCCCATCACTGTTTTCCTAAAATCTCCTTCTTTGTCTTGTCTTTTATAGCTCAGCTCTTGCCATGCAGTACTGTCAACTCAACTTGCAGATGCAATGATGTTTCCTATTACCCAGTTTAAAGAAAGGGATCTTAAAGGTAGAGCGCTCAAATAAATACTGGTTTTACCCACAGCAACAAACAGTAACAAAACCATAGCATTTGATTTCCACAGCTCTTGTTTCACTAAATAGAATACACCACCTATTTTTCAGCTCTCAAAGTATGCATCTCCAATTTAAAAAAAAAAAAAAGTAAGTTATTTCCATTCATGAGAGCGTTACAGTTGAAGGACTTGGCACTATTAAGGTTTCAACAAAAATACTACATCGCAGAAGCACCTTTTATTCCAGAAGAAAATTATGCAGTTACTGTAAACATTAGGAAATAATAATTTTCAGATAACTTGCATGCTTAGGAAATATTTATATATATTGTAATACCATGACACGAATATAATGGTTGGACTGAACTCAAAAGGCAATGTCATGTCTTTTTTTGCTAAGCCTGCCAGACACATAAATGATATATTGGCAGTAAGTAGGAGCAGACTTTCCTGGCCACATAGTGCCTGTGCTAGTAACTCGGTGTATTACAAGGTGTGAACTACAAGTGATCAGTAGTGAAACACTGCATGAGAAACCTCAATATAGAAATGTTACATCAATAACAACTTATTTAAATTGTGATATATTATTTTGTAGAGATATTGACTCTAAAAGAAGTTTTCCAAATTGCAAGCAATGGTAAGTGTAAAATATCTAATATTACAGATATTACTTAGAAAACTAGGGAAGATACTTTCAAGGCTTAAAGTGACTAATTAAGGTGTAATTCTTTTCAGTGATACTTAGGCATGGAGCTTTTGTTGGTTCACTTTGTAAATCCCTGCTTTGTGTGCCAAAGCGTTAAGGCAAATTGATACTACTAGTCTTTTTTTACAATACCTTAGATGTATACCTAATTAGTAAATCATTTATGATTATGCTACTAAAATTGCAAAAAATATTAAGGTGCTAGTTCACTTCTTAGTCAGGACTGAATTCATAAACGTATTTTACCTCACTACAATTAGTGTGATAATTCCCTCCCCTGTTGTCAGAAGTTATTTTAGCTAGCTCTACTGTATCATCGTAGAAAAGATAATCTGTAAGTAAAGATTAAGGGTACTGCTTCTCTCAGTGTAAATTGCTTCATTGCTTTAGAAGCAAAAAGGATGCAGGATTTCATAATGGCAAGTTGTCTCTACTTGTAGGGAGTTTCTGTCTTTGAAGAGTATTAGAAATTTTTAACTGTGTTACAGATTTGTATGTGTTGGCCATATTTGCATCTGGTTAGGTTTTTATTTTCAGCCCAAGTATTTGTGACACTGAAGTAATTATAAACAAGAACAATTCATAAAGGTTTTAATATGACTGCACTTCGCATTCAGCTGGCTCTGCAAAACAGTGGTATAAAAGGTTTTGTCTCTTTCACAAGTCATAAATTTCTCAAAATGATTGTAAATTCTCTTGTTTGCTTAGATCATGACGCTGCCATTACCAGATACGGTCGGTTGTCAAAAAGAAGGGAAAATGAAAAGGTTTGTAAAACAAAATAATATAAAGATTTTTAGAAAAGAAGTAATTTTAATCTAATATGTATATTTTTATGATGGAAAGCAGTGTATGGCAGATTCCACCTGAAGTCTGATAGTTTGTTTTAGCAGTCTAGACAGTTTGCTTCAGGACAGAGAAGCAGGTTTCTCTAATACATGCCTGTTTCGTAACACTGAAAATGCTCTTATGATTAAGATTGTGGGATTAAATTTATTTTTGTAAAGAAATAGCCACACGTGCTGGGGAGAAAAGAAAGCTGTGTTTCTCTTTCATGTATCTCATGTATAAATTAGAGAAGCAGAATTGCAGGGTAAAATGCGCAACGATGATAGAGCATAGGGCAACTGTCTTGTTTTGCATCATGCTGGCTAGAAACCTGTCCAGGAAGCATATGACGAATATCAAGTCTCAAACTTTCTTTTTTCTCCTCTCCCCCTGTCTGTTTCTCTTTAGATCAAGGCTGAAGTTATGGAAGATGTGTATACTTCAAGGAAAAAACAGCATCAAACTATGATGCATTATTTCTGTGCATTAAATACTCTTCAGTACAAAAAGAAAATTGCTATGCTAGAACCTCTGCTAGGATACATGCAGGCTCAGGTAATTTCATATTCTGAAAGCTGTAGGTCTGAAAGAAGATGTGAAAGTATTTCATAGAGATTGATGTACTGAAATCCACTGCAAGACCTCTTTCACAACTCAAGGAAGCAAATGGAGAAAAAGACATGCTCCATCCTCATCCCCGTAGCTGTCATAGCTGCTGCTGTGAATGCTGTCAGTAGCCAGCACTACTCATTCCCAGTCAGTGTATAAATGTCATTAGGATATGCCCTCATTCCCATCAGAGAATCTTTCAGGCAAGTCTGGGTGACAAATATAAAGGTCTAATTCTACCCTGAAACCCAGATTGCTCAGTTTAATGCACTGCCTAAATTTGCATTGATGGGTAGTTCTTTCCACTCAGTCACTAATGTGAATATCTGATTAAACTCATGCAGCAAGTCCCCAGGGGAGTGTGCCATCTTAGTAATGTGGAGACAAACTCTTTCCTGTGGCAGCTATTCTGAGATGAGGTAATTCTCACAGTCACATCACTACTGTTTTCAGCCGAGGAAAGGAAGAAGTGGAATGCTAGAAATCATTCTGGCTTTTTGTTGAATATAAGTGAGTTCATGATTGGTTTATTTGAGGAAGTGCAATAGAAAATACAACTATGAAAAAGTTCTATGGAGAGACTGAGTTTGTGTTTTCAAAATATATCATCAGTATTTGGGTTTTTTTAAAAAAGAAAAAGCCAATCTTTCCAGCATCTGGTGCTGCTACAGTGTCCTGGGTAGAAATTAACCTCCACGTGCTATGTGAAAGCTTTCCAGCTTAAGAGCTCTTGCTTCGTGAAACTTTGCAGTTTGTATTTTAGGACCTAAGCTCTGAATGGCTTCTGTAACAGAACTGATAGTGCAACCTGTTGTTCAGGTGCAAGCTTCTTCTAAATCTAAGAATGGAAAGGGTGGGGCCATGCTTCTGGCTTCCCATTCTGAGATTTCACATTGCTAAACTCCATTCAGATGTGACAGGTTTTCTGGACCAATATGAGTACACTTCTTAAGATGCAGATTATCAGCTTCCCTTGGTAGGGTCCACAGTTAAAGGACAAGTCCTCACAGGTTTTCCTTCTCCTGTGCCCCCAGTAGTCCCACCCATAACACAACAGGTAGCAGAATGGTGGCCTTCACAAAGTATGGAGACACCATGGAATCACTGAAAGATCAAACCTTGTTTCTTTTCCAGAACAGTTTCTGTGTATTTATGTATTTCTTCCAGGTGATTGCACATCCTCTTGACACAAGGAAATCCCACTGCAATGTCAATATCAGCTTTCACTTGGAGAGAAAACCATGGTTTCATCTGTTAATAGTTTATGTAGTTTTATTAATGTAGCTTTATTAAATTCTCCCTTTTTTTTTTTTTAAGATAAGCTTTTTTAAAATGGGTTCAGAAAATCTTACTGAGCAACTGGAAGAATTTTTGACCAACATTGGTACAAGTGTACAGAAGTAAGTTGCTTTGTTGAATTTTGAACTATTACCAAGACAATGATTTTTTTCTGTTTCTACTTCTCTTAATAGATTATCTTTGTTACTAACACATTACTTGCTTTAGTGTTCGCAGGGAAATGGATTGTGAAGTAGAAAACATGCAACAAACCATAGAGGATTTGGAAGTAGCCAGTGATCCACTGTATCTGCCTGATCCGGATACTACGAAATTTCCTGTTCATAGAAACCTGACACGCAAAGCCGGCTATCTCAATGCAAGAAAGTAAGGCGAACTTGTTACTTAAACATTGCACAATGTTTTGTTTTGGGAAAGGAAAGCTAAAAGGGTATGCAATGTTTATTTGAAGTTGGCTATGTTGATGTTACATGCTTAGTTGAGTAAGTCATATAGGAGTTACGCTGTTTCTTTCAACTCCTTCACTTAATTGGTACTAAGTTCATTGTTACATTGACATAGTGTCGTTCAGGTGCAAAGCAGTTACCTTGATTTTAGTCTACTTTTGCCTGAATTTTCACACCAAAAAGTTCAAGTGTAATTACACTGGATTGTGATTGGAGGACAACAGGACTGCAGCTATCAGGATTGTTGTATAAGCATCTGTTAAAGCTTTGGGATTCAAATTACTAATGAAATATGTCAGGCTTGAGATACACAAGGCAAAACAGTCTCTGCAAACTGAAATACACGTCAAATGGTCTCTTGCCCACTGGAGGGAGCTGCTACTTTATTGAAGCCTAGCAGCTGATTTTTATAGTTACTAAAAATAAGTTGTAATACAGATTATTTTTCTGTAATTTATATAATAAGATGCAAGGATATATTTTTTAAAAAATGTGATTACCTTTGCAACAACAGTTAGAATAACATACCTACTGAGTGGGGCATGGCTTCTGTAGTAGAACACAACTGCAGCGATTAATATTGAAGAGAGTACCTGCACAGAAAGGGAGGCTAAACTGCAAGTATTCCTCCTGGGTTTTGGTTTCAGATTGTTCCTTTTTTTCTTATTTTGGGGAAAAAATTAAACCCAAACCAAAACCCAACGTGATCTAAGCAAAATATTGGAAATCTTGTTGACTGGTACAAAATACTGAGACAATGGAGGTATCTTATATGACCAAGCTAATTCCAACATAAAGTTCTTGAAAACTTAGTCTTAACAATGTAAATATAGAGTTCAGAGGTCTTATCAATTATATTGATAATGCATATAATTAGAAAGTGTGTATTGCATAAAACAGTACTATAAAAGCTGATTATCAGAACTGAAATACTTAGACCTTTTTATTCTAAATCACAGAATCATAAAATAGCTAGGGTTGGAAAGGACCTTAAGATTATCCAGTTCCAACCCCCCTGCCATGGGCAGGGACACCTCACACTAAACCATCTCACCCAAGGCTTCGTCCAGCCTGGCCTTGAACACTGCCAGGGATGGAGCATTCACAACCTCCCTGGGCAACCCATTCCAGTGCCTCACCACCCTAACAGGAAAGAATTTCCTCCTTGTATCCAATCTGAACTTCCCCTGTTTAAGTTTGAACCTGTTACCCCTTGTCCTGTGGACCTAAATGGTTTCACATAATTTAGAAAAGCTATTATTTATGTTTTCTTTGCTCAGCAGTAGGTTTAGCGTGAAGAACTACAGATGGAAAGAGACTAATTTAACTGTAAAGCTAACCTAAAATATTAAACAGGTAAAAATGTTTTCTTAAGTGCTGGGGTGGTTTGTTGTGCTGAAATGATTTCCAGCTTAGCTGAACTCCGGATCTACTAAGAACCTCTTTTTATCTTTTAGTAAGACAGGGCTGGTATCTTCCAGCTGGGAGAGACAGTTTTACTTCACTCAAGGTGGAAATCTGATGAGCCAGGCAAGAGGTGATGTAGCTGGGGGACTTGTCATGGACATAGACAATTGCTCTGTAATGGCTGTGGACTGTGAAGACAGACGGTACTGTTTTCAGATAACATCGTTTGATGGCAAAAAGTGAGTATTCTTATATTCCTTATATTGATGTTACCTGTATGTAATACTGGACTCACTAATTCAATAAAGAAGGATGATCTACCTTTGACCAGATTATAGCTTGATAGATTTTGGGGGATATTTAGAACCAAAATCTGGGATGTCGTGTTAACTTCCTAGTGTTTGTTGTGCTTTTCCTATGCGCTTTTTGTCATAAGCTTTATAATGTAGGTGAGTGGTATTTCAGAATAAAATGACCATAATGAGTTTACAGTCATGTATTACTGAGTTTTGTGACTGCCTAAGTATTACATGGGCACAATTAGAGTTTTGTTCCTTTTCTGTTTCCAAAAGAAATGAAAATGCAGGTTTCTCCCACCCCCCAGTTAAATGTTGACTGTACTCAGCATGCACACAGAATCTTCAGCGTTTCTTAATTTGTTGTGCACTGTAGAAACATGAAAATGAAGTTTCCTGTCTGAATGTATTTGAAGTGATGGAATTATCTTTCCCATTCTCCTCTTTCAGGTCTTCAATCTTACAGGCAGAGAGTAAAAAAGATTATGAAGAGGTAAGCTTATAGGAGGTTTGCATGGAGTCCAGTGATTTTCTGTTGCTCAGAAGGAATACATTTGTAATAATAGTTGGAATGCTCATTTTGTGTTCTCTGGGTGGTAAGCAGTGAACTTTTTAACTGACAGAATCATAGAATCATAGAACAGTTAGGGTTAGAAAGGACCTTAAGATTATCAAGTTCCAACCCTCCTGCCATGGGCAGGAACACCTCACACTAAACCATATCACCCAAGGCCTCGTCCAACCTGGTCTTGAACACTGCCAGGGATGGAGCATTCACAACCTCCCTGGGCAACCCATTCCAGTGCCTCACCATCCTAACAGGAAAGAATTTCCTCCTTATATCCAATCTAAACTTCACCTGTTTAAGTTTGAACCCATTAACCCTTGTTCTGTCACTACAGTCCCTAATAAAGAGTCCCTCCCCAGCATCTGTATAGGCCCCCTTCAGATACTGGAAGGCTGCTATGAGGTCTCCACGCAGCCTTCTCTCCTCGAGGCTAAACAGCCCCAACTTTCTCAGCCAAAGTATTAATTTGTAATTACAGGGTATTACTGTGTTTAAATCCTAGAGAAGAAAATACAGTTACGATTGCCACAAGTCCTCTTCAGTAATACATGGAAGAAGGGGAAAAAGAGAAAAGAGAACCCACAAGACAGACAACCCACAGCTAAATAGCTAGGAGTATGGGAATCTTGACAAAATGCTGCTTTTCCTTCTCCTTGTTCATGCCTTCCTACCCTTCTTTCTTTCTGCCTGCTTGTCAGGAATTCAATATAAAGGGTGTTGTAGGTTACAAAGAAATTAGGAAAAAGTGCTGAAACGAAGCAACTTGGGTATTTAATCAAGTTTGCTTTAAAAAACTATGTAAAATTAATTTTTTTTCTCTCCCCTCCCTTCTCTTTTTCAGTGGATATGCACCATAAACAACATATCTAAACAGATATATCTAAGTGAAAACCCTGAGGTAACTTGACTAAAATTTATAGTATCAGTAATATGTTAAGATGTAGATACGTGCAAAAATAGAGATCAGCTGGACCCAGTTGGGTAGCAGAGAATTAAGCTTGAGTACTTCAGACATGTCTGATTATGAGCTTTTCATATTATGAAAACATATAGGCCTTTGTTTCCTTCATCAAAATGGTTATCTAGAAAGTGATAAGAATATCTGACTTTTATGTTTGTTATAGCTTTTTGACATTTTCAAGATCTTGTGTTTGTATTTTGTATGCGACACTTTGTTCCAAAGCATTATGACAAATACTCAGATGGATACAATTAATTCCTACCAGAGGAAACTGACAGTCTTACAAATATGAATTTTAGGAGCATAGCAGTTTTGTAGGGAAAACATATTTTCACTTAATGAATGAGTTAATTTGCCTTCTTAAAGAGTTGGAAATTGATTATTTGTTTCATGTAGAGAATTTAGGTAAGGAAATCAATCTTATTTAGATGGCTTACATTTATATTTATTTAGCAAATTCATATTGATACAGACTTACATAACAATTCTTGCTTCCTAAATTAGGGGAATTAGCCCAACTGAATCTGCTGTTTCATAACAGAGCATTTTTCTGTATGTAAAGTTTGTTGAAAGTGATATTGTACTCTCTAATGTCCTTGCTGAAGTCTGAAACACGTTACTGGAAAGCAGACTTTCAAGTGGTCATATACCAGCATGAAAACTGCAGACAGAGCAGTCAACAGGCAGCTTGTTGAATAATACAGAAAGCCATTGCTCACCTACATAATGCAAGGCTCTTGCCAAATGATCTGGAAAGTCAAGATGAAATAGGAGTGTGTTGTGCCAGGTCTTGGTTTAGGAGCTAAATATAACTTTGTAGATAATGCAAGCACCTGGTCAACTAAGTTAACTATACAGATAGGAAACAAAATGGTCTTAATGCAGAGCACAGTTACCTGAAGCATGTGTTCTGATGAATGCACAGCTGAGCTTCTGTTTAGTTGTGGCATAAATGGGTGCACCTGTTTTCCATCAGTGAAGGTGTGTGCATTTACACCTCAATTTTCGTGCCTTTTCCTCTCTTCCCAATGGCTTTATAGTAATTCTCATTTTCACTTCAGTTTTCTGAGTCATAAACTTACACAAAATGCAGGAGACAAAATGATGAAGAAGCTACACCTTCCTTATCCAAAGATTCTCTTTCCTTAAGGGCTTTCACTGTTGGCTTTACCCCATGAAGTGAAGGAATCAGCATAAAATACTTCAGAATTAGGGATTCCAATTGAAGATTAAAATGGAATTTTTCAACTGTAAATGGTCCCTTGTTTGTTGAAATGATATTGTAACATAGTCCTCACTTGGTACTTGTTCATGTCTCAGTTTTTCAGAAACATTTAAGTGTTCCCAGATTTTAAGGGCAGACTATTGAATCTTCATAGTTTTAGGCAGTAGCTGAGGACTGCATTTCTCAAATGAGATTCTTCTTTTTTTAATCTGGCTACACTGGCATATTTTACCAGAGTTCTCACTGGGACTTTTCTCTATTGCTGATTTTTTTTAACACTTGCAGTACAGCTAAGCAAGTGCATTCATTAAAATTTAGAAAGTGAACAGCAGAGAATGTTTTGCAAGTTACAAGAAAATACAAGTCCGTTAGTGAGAATTTAGGAAAAGAAAAGCTTCTGGATTCTCACAAAGGGTTGCTTATAACTTCTGTCAGTTGCATAAAAATAAAACTAAAATCTTAAAGCTTATTTTGCAGAAAATGTTTTCAGTTATTTTTTCCCATCCCTCTCTTGCAGGAAATTGCTGCACGTGTGAATCAGTCAGCTCTGGAGGCTGTTACTCCATCCCCTTCTTTCCAGCAGAGGCATGAAAGCATGCGGCCAGCTGTGTAAGTTAATGAACTACAGGTATTAGAAGAGCACATCTGTAAAGAGAATCCTGGATAAAGCTCCAGGAAAAACAAACAGCAAAACTTGATAGGCTAGAGGAAAATTTCTTCAACTCACCTTTCTAATATCACTGTTGCAAGTCATCCAGATTTCCATGTGACTAGACAGTTCTATTGATTGCATTGTATATGTGGTTTGTTATATGAACTCATAATGAGACTTTCCTTAAGGTACTTAACTCCTGGAAACAGACCTCAGATGTTTTAACATCAATATATAATCACATATGAAATATAATACAATCTGATACAATTATAAATGCAAATAGTAACTTTAACTTAAATCTGACTAGGAACATAGACCCCTTTTTTGTTTACTATAGCCTGACCATCAGTTTTTTAGGTTTTGTGTTGTTTTACATCCAAGCTGTGGAGTACTGTATTGATCTTCCATATGGTTTAGTTTATTATCAACCAACTTGAAACTTTTAAGATATCTTCATTTTTATCTTTTTTTTTTGTTTTAGACAATCTCGTCCTCTTGCGGCTCGTACTAGCAGTACAGGGTCACTGGGATCTGAATCAGCAGGTTTATCAGCGCTTTCCTTGGATTCACTTGTTGCACCTGACACTCCTATACAATTTGACATAATATCTCCAGTTAGTGAAGATTTTCCTGGTCAAACAAAATCTTCAGGGCAATCGGGCAGGTAGGAAATATAAAAACAAAATCCTGAAGTTAATGTTACTAATTTAAAAACAAGCCAACAAGAAACCCATGTTGATGCTGCAGCTCCAGAGCACTCATGTCACAGAACTTTGCAGTGGTTAGTAGAGTATAACAATCTTCTAAATAGTTAAAGTAAGTTGTAAAAAAAAAAATGGCTTAATTACATGCACTAGATTCAGGGTGCGGTCTTCTATTTAACGGAGCTTTTCTTGCTTTAACAGCTAATGCTTTTATTTATTGATTCATTTTAATCTTTTGGTTTCACAAAGTATTTTCCTTTCCTATTGCTTGCTCACCCAGCAGCTTGGGTTATTTCCTCTTGGAAACTCAAGAGAAATTTGGTAGCCCTGTCTCCAGGTGATGATGGCATACGATGACACTCCTCTTAACCTGAAAGGTGAGTGAAAATGATCTAGGCTTCTAGAGTAATCTCATATACAGACAAATTAAAATTGCCAAAGAGCTCTTCCTGAACTATAAAAACATTTTCTCCTACTTGTTTTTTGTAAACTTCCCACTCAAAAATAGTAAGAAAGACCTGCAGATCTGCACTGCATTTCTGGAACTGTATGTGCAGAATTTGGGTATTAAGGAAACATATTTGCAGATCCAGCTGCTCTTAACAACAGAAAAAGCCATAAAGATGAAAACTAATTAATGTGACTCTAGTCACAGTAATGACTTTAAACCCCTGGCCCTCTAGAAAAATATGTCTGAGTTTTCAGTTGCACCTTACAGATATGTAGGAGTTAAAATTATACACATTTAATGTAGTCAACTCCTTTTTTTGTTTTGGTTGGTTGGTATGGCAGGATAACAGGTTGGGTAGCTAGATTCTCAAGAATGGACTGACCTGTATTCCAGGAAGTGGAGAGGTTAATACTTCAGCTAAATTCATGTCATCAGTTATAATTCTATTCTAGAAAACTTTTTTTTTTCATAGCAGAAATAATAGAGTTGTACTTGGTGTTTTCAATTAACCATCACTGTCAATAAAGAATTGCAGTGCTTGTGCAGATAGGCAACATGCTACTTTAGAAGTATTAGTGATTAAAAAAGAACCCTTTCTTTAGTTTCTGGTACTGATGACATATTAAATTTTATTTTTGCCTTTTGAGAAATCTTGTGAGATTTTGCATTTACAGTTCCAGTCTAATCTGAAGTTACAAAAGTCTGAGCAATAAAAGACACCAATAGAAAGAATTCCCCATTACTGAATTGCCACAGGTCAGCATTTAATGGAGTTTTTCTTGATTGAATCTGTGTTAATTAAACATTGCAGCGATGCCCTCTTGACTTCAGAGTTCAGTCTAGAACAATTTTACTACATTAAACTCAACATTGATTAGTTAGAAGAGTTCATTGACAAAACTGGCAGGTTTTTTCTCTTCTGCAATTTGCTTTAGAACACTAACTGTTGAGAGGTGACACCTCCATTGCTCCCCTATAAAACCTAACTTGAAGTTTACTGAACCATTGACAATAGTTTTTCAGACACCAGTTAGTCAAAGAGAGAGGATTTTGTCCTTTTTTAGAAGGTTCTAGTATTTCTCCATTTCCCATACTCTTTTCAGCATTGCTTTACTGCTTTTGAAAAATGTAGACTTGGAAGCCTAGAGTATTTTCACTTTTTGTTGTAACTGATAGCAGTTCTGTCTTTGAGAGTCAGAAATAGCCACATTTCTCTTGAGCTCTAGGAGTAAAAACCCAGTGATGTTTTCAGAAAGCTGCATTTGAAACAAAACCAGTGACTTCAGTAAGTAATTCAACAACTTGAGACAGTGATGAGAAGGGTGGTGCTCCTACGGAGTACTGAAAGGACTAGCTTTTGACTGTACTTCCTGGAGCTGTTCTTTGCTTTCGAAGATAAAGGTTTTGACTTCTTAATTCAGGTATTAAAAAGTGCTATGTGAGCAAAACTGTCATGGCAGCAATAGCATATTAATACCAAGGTTTGTGCCCTTGAATATAGCAATTTATGTCTAACTCCTGATTAAAATGCTTGATCTTATGATTTATTGTATATTATTCCTCTGGATTACGAGTCTGTGAAGTCACTACAGGTTGATGCAGCATGAGACTACTACATTACTCATCAGTGGTGCTTGTAATCTGACTCCTGGTTTAATGTTTTCATTTTAATAGACGCACAAATCCTTTTGGTGAATTGGGAGGCTCAAAATCTGAAACAGAAGGTAAACCAACTATTTCATTTCAGTGCAAAATAAAAAGAGAGTTTTAAAATTATTTCTCTGTTTTCACCTATAGCTGCTCTTTCCTACTTTAATGCCCGTTTTAGAATGCTTGGTTAAATCAGCAATGTGCTGGACAAGTTGTGTCAAATCAGGTTACTGTCTGAAAGTCTGTTTTAAAAATAATTCATTGCACCTTTTGTGTGCTGTTTGGTAAAGTGTGATGTGCTGTTTGGTAATGGTACCTGTAATTCATAGGCATGAGCAATCTCTCTCCAAGGTATGAGAAGTTTAGAGTTTACTGAGGTCCATCTTTGGGTTTGGATGGAAAACTCAAAATGGAGTTAACTTTTTTTAATACTTTTCTTTGTCTTAGATTCAATTCTTCATCAGTTATTTATTGTGAGATTTCTTGGCTCTATGGAGGTGAAATCTGATGAAAGTCCAGATGTTGTTTATGAAACAATGCGTCAAATACTGGCGGCTCGTGCCATCCATAACGTTTTCCGGATGACAGAATCACATTTATTAGTCACATGTGGCTGCTTAAAGTAAGTTTCCTGCCAGACTTCTACTGATGTTTATTTACAAAATGGTCTTCTTTCACTTTGGTAAAACTTACTTTCTGGTTTGTTTTTCAAAACAAATTTTTAGGTTAATTGATCCACAGACACAAGTTACAAGACTACGAGTAAGTAACTTTACGTTTTAAGATAACTGACCAGCAATGTCATTCTGCTCCTTTAAAAATAATATTAGTGGATGGTAGCAAAAATCATTGACAGCATTTAAAAATAGATAACTACTAGCAAATCAGGTTTAACAGGAGTGATTTCAGTAGATCAAATAGGCTTTTGAAACATTGTATTTTAACATGTTTGATTACAAACATTTATATTACTAATTAAAGAGGTAACATTGAAGTTGGACTCAGATGAGTTCTGAAGCCCAGAAGGGTTTGCTTGGTGTTGGGTTTTTTTGGTTTTATTTTAGGTCTTTTGTTTTTAATGTGTAACTGCATTGAGAGTGTTGTACAGTTTGGGTTTTTTTTTGCCTCGTTCTTTATAAAACATGCACTTGAAAGAAGTAAGTGGATTATTCCTCAGGTTATCAGATAAAGCCATCTTAATTCTTTAGTAATGGCAGTCTTTATTTTTCATGTTTTTTAAATGTTCCACTCTCTTGCTCTTCTTTATGCACAGTTTATGATGCGTCATTTAATTTCTTTGTGTCTTGTTTTAAAAACATTTTTTTGGGGGGCATTTTGAATTACTTTTATTTCCATAAAAGAAAATCCAGATGGTGTGAAAATGTCTTGGTATTTTAAGCAGTGCTTTTTTCTTTCTTTACCTTTGTGTCATTACATTCAAAACTGCCCCAAAGCCAGGAGCTTGTAGAGGTGAGATAAGTCAGCTGAATGCATGTCCAGATTTCTAAGTGTGTACATTTAAGGTCAGGAAAACCTCATCTGACAGCTTATCGCAGCTCTAGTTGGGGCTTTCAGCATTAAAAAAATGACTCTTTACTGTCTTCAGAAGCTACATTTGAAATTTCTAAGTCCACCCTATTTTAGGAATAAGAGTGCAAAATAGTTTATTGTAAGGCAATAATGAAGATACGTTTTGTACATCTTGGGGTTTGGGGTTTTTTTTTTCTTGTATATAGTTCAGGAGAGCTGAACTAATCGCATAAAGGTTTTGGACAAGTAGTGCCTTTACCTGCACCAGATATTGAAATCTTAGTCACAAGTGTTATTTGTATGAATGACGTCTCTTTAAGGAAAATGAAAAAAGGACTGTATTCCCATTTAGAAACTGAGTCACACTGAATTGTGGTCCCTCCCCCGTTCTTACATGTGCTGAGTTTTTAGAAGTTTGCCTGTCTTTTGAATAATTTAATCCTCAGATTCTCATCGGTGTTCTATAATTACATGTTTGGTCAGGTTGTAACTTTTTCTGGTCTGGTTATGCCTTTATGATAGTGAAGTGATTAACATACAGTATATTGAAAGCTCATACAGAAAATACTTTGAACAGGTTTTAATATGTCTGTATTTGATCCTTTTGGCAGTTTCCTTTGCCCAATGTAGTCTTGTATGCTACGCACCAGGAGAATAAGCGCCTTTTTGGATTTGTGCTCAGAACCTCAGGAGGGAGAGTTGAGAGCCGCCAAACTTCCATCTGCTATATCTTTGAATCAAATAACGAAGGGGAAAAGGTATTGGTGATGTTTATACTTGGATCAGTGTGGATTCCAAAATACTGGATCCATTCAAGCTGAGGGATTTCTGTGAGGGGAGTATCTTGTTTATGTATTGAAAAACAGTTAAGTCCGTGATAGTCTTACCTGTAAAGTACTCTAATATGCTGGTATGGCTACTTTGGGAATCTGGCATAATTTTAAAGGCATTTTTATTAGTCTTTTTGATTATTTCTGATCTGTTTTGTGTTTAGATTTGTGACTCTGTTGGACTGGCAAAACAGATTGCTTTTCATGCAGAACTGGTAAGAATCTTTCTGGGGCAAGGGATACCTATGAATGGAAGGGAGAGAGTATGTATAATATGTAATAGAGCATATTCTGCAAGATGTTTATAGCTGCAGTAATACTGTGGTGGTGTACTTTAAGGGATTTGCTTTCTAGAATTTAAACTCAAGATGGAAAGACTGACCAATGTCCGCTCTGGAACAATATTCAAGACAGGATTCAGCTTGTTACCTTTAACAAGCATACCAGTCTTTTAAAAGAATGAGCAAAACAGTGGTGCAACAGTTTTGAGCAAACTGGTAGAGTATCAAACATCTCAGGCTGGTGTTTGTTACTCCATTTACGTTTTTTTCCCTTTAGGATCGAAAAGCATCAGAAAAGCAGAAAGAAATTGATAGAGTCAAAGAGAAACAACAAAAGGAACTGAATAAACAAAAACAAATTGAAAAGGTACATGTATCATTATTAATACTTTTTAAAAAATTCTGCTTACCTTCTTTTGCAGTTTTGTGTTCCAAGCTCCAATATAATATTCTTTAGTGCAAGTTCATAGAACATTGTGGAATTCATTATTAGGAGTATTTCCTGTGCAGATTTTGTATAATTTTGTATAGTGGTTTTTAAAAGGAGCTCTTCTGAGGAATAAACCACAAAGTGTCTTTATAGGAATACTTAAGAGCAGTACTTGAAGGAGCATCTATCACAGGCCCAAAATAATTTCATTTGCTGGTGAGGGATGCAAAAACCACAGAATCATTTAGATTGGAATTGACCTTCAAGATCATTGAGTCCAATCACTAACCCAGCACTGCCAAACCCACCACTAAACCATGTCTCCAAGTGACACATCTACATATTTTTTAATTACCTCCAGTGTTGGTGACTCCACCACTTCCCTGGGAAGCCTGTTTCAATGCTTGACCTCCTTTTTGGCGAAGAAATTTCTCATAATATCCAATCTAAACCTCCCCTGGTATAACTTGAGGCCATTTCTTCTTGTACTATTGCTTGTTACTTGGGAGAAGAGACTAGCCACCTCCTCGTTCCATCCTCCCTTCAGGCAGTTTTAGAGTGACAAAATCTCCTGAGCCTCCTTTTCTCCAGGCTAAGCAGCTGCATTTCCCTCAGCTGCTCTTCATAAGACTTGTGCCAGCTTCATTGCTTTTCTCCAGACATGCTGCAGCACCTCAGGGTAGTTGAAGATACTTGTTCCAATCTGCTATGGTTTGTGAGTTATAGGTATAGCTGTAGTATTGTGTTAGCTGTTCTAATAATGCTAACTGCTGAAATGTAAATGTTTTGGGTTGCTATCCAGGATTTTAATTCCCTCTGTACAGAAAGCTGTCTATTGATCCTATTAGAAGATAGTTTAGAAATCACTGGAATTGTATCCTGTTTCAATTGTAGATGGCTTTGAAATTAATACTCTTTTTCTGATTTCCCCACTCCCCTTCTCAAATTAGGATTTAGAGGAGCAAAGCCGGTTGATAGCTGCTTCCAGCAGATCCAACCAGAACAGTGGAGAAGGACAATTTGTAGTCCTTAGCAGTAGCCAGTCGGAAGACAGTGATTTAGGAGAAGATGGAAAGAAGAAGAGAGAATCTGAAGCCTAAGGTTGCCTACTTTATGAGAATTGGAATCATGGATCAATTTGGTGAAATGGCACGAGTTCTCCAAGAAGTGAAATGCAGGTGGAGGGTCTGCTGTGTCATATAAAAAACTTCACAATACGTAGACCCTGTAATGCCTTGATCATTCTTTTTCAATTAAGTGATTTCCATTTTCATGTCAGTATAATTTCTGTATGACATATGTAGCATGGTGATGCTACCATGTTTGTTGAAAAATTACGTTTTCTCAAGGCCTTCTCTGCAGTAAGGAAAAAACTGGGGGTTTCATCTCCACTTACCTCTCTGTGCAATTGACTGCTCTTGAAGCAAAACTAAAAACCCTTCTTGGACCTCAACAGTACATTGAAACTCATTCTTTACATGCAGTGTGGACACCACCTTGCTGAAAACAAAAAAGGATGCCCAAATATGACAGTGCTAAGCTTTACCCAACTTGTTGCACATAACTGTTCTTAAATTTAGAAGGAAGAATCCTTAATAACATCAGTGAGATGTGCAATAGTTCTAGATAGAAGGATCTTATTTTTTGTTTCATATTGCACTGTATGATACTGTCTTGATTTCTTCAGTGAATATAATGCTGAAAGACTTCTTTCACCAAAAGTAAAAAATACTGTCAGAGCTAGGTAGAAGATGAGATGAAGTTGCACTTTGCTGCATGAGGAATGTATAAAGCATTCCTTATCAAATGATAAGAATAATGTATATACTCTTGTAGCACAAGTGCCATGTTCTTGTTTTTTTTCCCCAGTAGTGTAATGAAAAGCTGTAAGCCTTCGAGTTCACTTTTTATAAAATGGACTTAGGGTTGGAGGAACATCTTGAATTCCATCATTTTAAAAATCTCATGCATATGTAAATGCCTTGCCGCCAGTACACTGCACTTACTGAAAAGGAGTTGAGGCTCTTTAAGTCTTTTTATGGAAATTAATTTTACAAATAGAATGTACTTAGCTCTGAAGTAAGAGGCTATGCTAATCCTACATCCTACAGTCAATCCTGTAAAGTGTGTTTCAAAGCAGTATCTGTTTACAGCTTCTAATCTGAACTCCATATTCCATACCCTATGTAATATTTATTTTGTATAGTACTAAATGCGCATTCACCTTTTGCTCCAGAAGAGAAAACTTGTTTGAAGAGAAATATTTATTTTTGCACTAATTACTATAAATATTAAAGTCCAGTGGAACAGAATATATCTCTCTAATAGTGGCATGAAAATAACAAAGTATAGAAAGAGAAGAATATACTTATACTCCAAGTTATAACAGTTATGAGTGTTTTACAGCTCATTGCAGGCATTTCTGGTGTTCAGGAATGGAAGCAATTTTCAGAACACCTCCTGATCCAGCCCTTCATAGCTGGAGCTGCTCAGTGCCGATACAGTATGTGAGGAATCTCAAGACCTCTCTGCTCCATGCCTGTAGGTGCAGGGAGGGATCAGTGTCCTTAGCCCTCCTCATGTGCTGGAGTGGCCCCGTGCTGGCAGCAGTTTCCTTTGGGTGCACAAGTTCCCAGCCTCTGGCTCCTGTCACAGGAGATCAAGGGGGAGTAGTGCAGCCCTTGCAGCACTGGGCAAGATTGAGAGAGCCGAGCTCCTGGAGCACTGCCACCTGGGGAAGGGCTTCAGCAACTGGGGAAGGGGTGACACTGTCCCTTCCTTGAGAGAGAAGGGGAGGCTGAGTCTCCACGTTCTCTTCCTGAGTCAGTTAGCAAGGCTTGCTCCAGTACAATTTTTGTCCCCAGAGTAGCCTGTCACTTGCAGAAATTTTGCTGTTGCCCAGTCAGACCAGATGGCATTTCCCTGTGGGCAAATTTGGCTTGAATATTGTCACATGGACCACACACATCTGAGGCTTTTGTCTGAATAAAGAGTGGCATTTTTATTTTGTCCTCTGTTCTCTGCTCTCATCCATAGGACACTTTATATTCTTGCCAACAAAAAGGTACAGAGGCAGCAAACCCTTTTTTTTTTTTTCCCCCCCTTTTTGTGCCTAAATCCTGGCTTACAGATCATTGCATGGTAGCCAGGTTGTCTCTGCAGATCACTCCAGTTCAGGTTTCTCTGTTTGTCTGTTGGTTTTCACTTGCTGCTAGTTCTCTTTTCTGTCAAATAATATGGCAGTATAGCTCAAGGTTACTGGGTCTTACTGTATCTTCCTCAGGTACATGCTGAAAATTAAGTAGTTTTGGAACAGCACAGGAAGAATAGGAAATTGGTGGTCTCCAGTTTCTAGAATGTAGTCACCCAGCCTGTCGACTGTGTTGAGCAGTTTAGCTGCAGTAGCCCCAGCTCCATATGGAAGAGTTAATAGATTAGCAGTCTCATCAGAAAGCACTTCTGATGTATAGCCTGTTTTGCATTAGCCTGATTGAAGAAATGCCAGAAAATTGAATGGCTACATTTTTTCTTGAAACCCACCATTACTATTTCAGACATAAATCTGTAAAGATGATGAAGAAAGCAGGAGAGTAAAGTTGGCAGACGAATTTGCTGTCATACAGGGTTTTTCAGATTTAGCAATGCATGAGTGGAATTACTCCATTTGCATAGGTGGAAAGCCTGAAAAGCAATTAAATGTAGTTCTCTAAAACCACATACGAGTGAAGAGCGTTTTGTTTGTGTTGGAGGATTCTCATCCTAACAACTAAAAAAAAGGGGGAAATGATTGAAGAGAGTAAAAGAAAGCAGATTAATATGCATGAATGAAATAAAGGGGGGCAGTTTTGCTTATTTTGGAGAGTCTCACTGGTGTAAAATGAGCAAAAAGATAAAAAAGCATCTAGGAGAGTGATGGAAGCTGCAGGAGTAAAAGGGAGGTCAGAAGAGATGAGGAGGTTAACAGGAGTGGTGCACTGAGTGTGCATTGCCAAGTTTTTGCTTAAGGGGAGGAGCATAAGACTCTTAAGTAGAACCACCTCAGGGCAAAAAATAGCTGCTGAGGTTTTATTCATGCCCTCCTCCCCAGAGTATTTAGTACCTTATTTCCTGTGAGGTTTAGAACTACATCATTGGAGAACGCTTTTGTTAATTAAAACCAAAGTGCGTAATATTTTTCTTGACAGTATGACTTTTATTATCAGCCCCTCATGTCCTCCTGGGAGCTACTGCGGTAGGATTTCAGCACTTGAGTATTTTATTAAGTAAATTACTGGTTGGTTTCCTCACCTCTGATTTATAGCTCCTGTCTAATATTGCCTTTTACTTACAGATTGACGTCTCAAGCACTTTGAGCTGAAGTTGTAGTTTGCAACATGTACACCTACTAGTATTTCAGACACACCTGAAAATACTCTTTCAAGTACCTGATTTTAAAGTGACTTTGCATTGGTACTGCAGCCACAGTGTTGTTGAGGACTAATTTTTTATGTTGCTAATTGAAGCCTTGTAGTTCCTGCCACATTTTTCCCCTTAGGTAAGGGGATATTGAGTTTGTTACACTAGATAAATTTACATGCTGCAGACCAAGCAAGTCTTGCTGCCCATTGTTCCAAGCTACATACATTCTTCATGTATGTAATGGCATGAATATAGCAAAAGTATGCTTATGGGTATGCATTTTATTGCATTATAGATAATATGCAGCACTCCTCTGCAGCCACTAACAGCTTTCTCCAAGTTTAAATCAGAGGACAAGTTAAGAGTCATATGCAGTGTAGTCATACATAACTGGTTTTGAGCAGGTAGTTTAATTTGAATATGATTGTCGTGTCATACTTCCTTCATTTGTTTAGGTTTGAAATTGTATGAAGACAATTTACTGTCTAACAGTGAAATAATATTTAGGACTTAAGGAACATTCCCCCTCTAGCGTGCTGTCAGATTTCATCTTTATATAGATGTAAACACTGAGCTAAAAATTTTGCAACAGCTGAAGCTATTTTTGGACCTATAATTTATGTACATTGATATAAAGAAGCAAATGTGCCTGCACGTAAGTTTAAGGTAAAATCTGATCAATTAGTTGCACAGAATTTGGGAGAAGCCAATGGAGAAAACTATGTTACAATATAGTCTCTTGTTATTTCAGAAATAATTCACATACAAAACGAAAACCTGCCTCTGCTTAGTGAATTTAGTAGAGATATTGTCTAGTCTAACAGTGAGAGCTGGTATTTTATACTTTCTGCTGCTCTATTTTACAGAATCTCTTGCAAGTCAATCAAGGCCTCTGAGGCTTTTCTTTTTATCCCAGCAGTAAGTTGATTTTGTTTTCCTTGCCACAGTGGTATCTAAGTTGTCATGACAAGAACAAGTCAGTGTGTCATTGTGAATGCACTTGTATTCCTAATGAAGTTTCTATTGCAAGCCAAGGATTTTGTACTATCTTTCAGGTCATTTTTATAATAGAGTCTTCAAATTCTTACAATGATATTCTAGATTGGTCCTGTTCTAGTGAAGTGTAAGTGATTTTTGCAATGTTTGAGACTGACTTGCACATTTTCCCAGAATAGCTGTATTAAAAACCTCCAGTGGCATATTTGTGTCAACTTTGATTGTTGTATAATCTTGGAAACATGGATAGTAAACCTGCTGTGCCAGGGCTTCGGTCGTGTTTTGTGGATTAAATAAAAGCTTAACTATAGGAAATTTCTGGGTGGGATTTGTACTAACCCAAAAACCTCCTGCATTTTTCATAACACTGACTTCCAGGAAGTTATTGGTGATAGAATGTGTTCCCTTCCTCTGAACAGTTTTAACACACAGTTATATTGCTCTGTTGTCAAAGTGTATCTGCTCTTAATTCTAACCATATTAGGCAGATAACCTCAGAGGAAGTTATTGTACTTGGGAATGCTGGTAACTTATTGTTGCAACAGTCAGAAACTGAACGGTAGAAGAATATTATTAAACATCGTAGCTGCCTATTCAGTGCACATGTTGGTGTGGTCATCTGATAAGGTGTAGCACTCTACAGAGCTGTGGTTATAATGGTCAGAATTCACATGTACAGAGGCTTATATATACCAGCACAACCATTAACATGGGTACTGATACATATCTTCATGGGCTTTGTTAGTTTATTGTATGATAAACACCATGTAAAAAGCAAACGGTCATAACTGCATTATGGTTAAATTTGTATTTTATAAGGTTTGTAGATTTTTCTGGGGAAAAGCAGACTTTTGGATTATGTAATTTCTGTGATAAAGATGCATGTATAACTAGAAAAAAAATATATGCTTACTTGATAATGAAGGAATAAATACTACTCATGCCAAGTGTGTTGATAAACTTTCTTTTTTTCTAAAATACAGACTGTCAGCAGTGTTTTTAGGAAGAACAGGCTCTGTGTCTGTGTGTACACTGTAAGCCTTCCTAAGACAGCTGTGACTGCTGACAGGTAGTGCTCCAAAAGCCGACACTCCACCTGCATGAAGAGAAACTCCTAAAATTGCAAGCATGCCTTTAGTCAGCAGTGCAGGAGGAAAACCTAGTTCTAGCAAGAGTAATCAAAATACATGGTGGACAATACATATTCGTACCAGAGACTGAGGTGCAGAACTAACACAGCTGTCAGAAATAGTGCCTGCTTGCTCTACCATTGGTATTTTGCGCTAGCTGCTGCTAAGCAGAGGTTTCTATGGCTGTTAATCCTGTTTCACTGCTTAGAATGTGGGATTGCTTCTTTGAGTGACAGGGAAAGAAAACTCCTGCTTACGCTGCTCTGCAGAACTTCACTGTAGGACTTCAAAATAAAAGTTGTAGAACAAATAAAAACTTACTTCTTGGCAAGAGAAAGGGAAGTACAAGAGAAAAAAAACCGCTATGGTTAAATTGCTGACCTTAAACTAAACCCTGATTTTAAGCCTGCAGTGGGGCTAGTGTTACCTGCCATGACAGGCTTTAACTTAGCCATAACATAAGGCTTGTGTTTTGCAGTTCCTTAACTTTCCCACTAAGCATTTAAAATATTATTGCTGTAACTTACAGATAGTTTATATTCCAGTAGATAGGTAGAATGTGATCTCTAATACTTACATTTTGGGGATCTCCCCATTTTCTTCAGGGGGTGAGGGGGAACGCTGGTATTCTTTAATATATATGAGATAAATCCCAACAGAAAAAGGTCTTATCCATGTCAATATGCCCTTCAAACTATAGAACTAATACTTATGTACAGTTGAGTTGGTAGGTGCCTGTGAAATTTTCCTGTCCATAAAGGTCATATTCCTTGTATAGTACGTAGTCTTTCAAGCAGTTTGGCAGTGGAAGGAAGGTCATGAAGACAGGACAACGGAGGCGCAACCGGCCCATGCACATCCGTATCTTCAGACGACAAAGATGCTTCAGAGAGCGAGGATTTGCTAGAAATGAGAAGGCAAGATTGATATTAATTAATTTATTAAATGTCCTTCAATTTATTTATTCAGTACTCTGCTACCTTTCAAAAGCTTGCTTCCCCATTTTGCAGCATATTCACTGCAAATAGAGAAAAGAAATGTGACTGTCCCTGGACAGCCTGACTGGTCAGGATCTACTCTTTTTGTCTCAGCCCATACAGCTCCCAGTTCTATTTACAACCGCTGGCATCTAAATCAACAACTTTTGTTTCTGTCAAGTTGGCCAAATGTAGGTTAATGCAAGTTTAAGGAGTAAAGTTTAGGGAATGTACTTTAACCCCAAATAGCTGGTGTCAGTTTTCTGTCAACCTGAAGAAGCTACTGGAAGTAGGATTTTGAGTCACTACTTCTTAATCTATATACAAGCAAAAAGGCTGTAAAATTAATCTAGACTATAATTAAATCACTCCATTAAAAATAGTGGTATGTTAAACTTGTTCTATCAACTTGAGGCAGGGGGAAATGGTTTTCTCCCCTTTAAGAGGATTGTGTTGTCCATGCCGCAATTAAAGTTCACAAGTGCTCTACATAAATAGTGCAGTTATTGTGTTAGACTTCCAAGAGAAATTTAGGTTAAATCCTACAAAGGCTGATGTTTAAGAGGTCTCTTACTGTCAAAATATAACTTCTGGCCTAACAATGGGTCAAGAAAAGCACAGTCCGAGGTAAAACTAAAATGCAACTAACAAAAATGGCCCCAATCCCCAGTTTGTCTTCCCAAAGGCAAACATCAGATACTTACTTAAAATCAAGTTGATGTCTGGCCAGAGTTCCTGTTCCTTGAGAACTGCTTCTAGCTTCCAGCAGATATTAACATGATCGACGTAATCTAACATTACTCGCACTACTTTCCCAGACAGGTGCTTCAGCCATGACAAGGTTATCACTTCACAGAACTGATAGAAACAAAATGTTCAATAGATAATATTCAACACTCCTGTCAGTGACTTACACCTCAGCAGGGCAAGAGCCAGGAACAATGTGCTATGATACCAGACAACCTAATGAACCAGCCTGGATGTCCCTGCTTTCAGAGCATGAACAACACCATGCTGGGGAGCCAATTCTGTACTGACCATTAGCATATTATTAGCTACATTTCCACAAGTCAAAAATAATGTTTATGCTTGTTTGTTGTCATGAACCGGGCCTCACTGCAACACCTATTTAATTTTAAAGCCTTCTCTATTCCTAAATTTATGTATAAACTGTCTTAAGGTTTCAAAACTTCTTTTTCTGGCACTGCATCAAGTACATTTTCATTTAGTTTTAGGAAGGCTATTGGAAGTAAAGCAATATATGAAGCCACCTGATAGACTTACCGTTGTATCTTTGATAACGGTCGAAGTCCATCCATCAGTCACGTACTGGGAATGTGAAGTGCTTCCCTGAGGGCAGTCAAAGCAGCGGTGCACATCATACCCATAGTTCAGCAGCATTCTTAACATGACTTCATCTTTCAGAGCGTACTGTAGAGCTGATGGAAAATGCGTTGTATTCACCCTGCAGAAGTAATTGACATTTGCCCCATGTCGGAGCAGTAGATTCATTAACTCATAGCTGCCCATCCTCAAGGCTATTTGGAGACAGTTGATGGGATCTTGGTTTGTCAGGGCTCCAGCGTTCAACAGCAGCTGTGTTGAGCGGATATCCCCATTGGAAACAGCAAAGTACAATGCAGATTTCCGGTGGTCATCGTATCCTTTGCGAACTCTCTGATCCAGCATAAAATTGGCGTCAAAACCAGATTTTAGGAGAAACTCAAGGCACTGAGGATGTCCTCCTGCTGCTGCTGAGTGAACTGGACTTATCCCACTTTCTTTAATAGCATCAAAACTAGTAACTGGAACTAGTATTTTTAAGGCTCTGAAGAATTAAGAAAGAAGAAACTCAGAATCTGAAACACTGGTTCACCAACCTCGATCTTTGAATATCTCTGTGTTGCTGGGCTTCACAATTCCTCATGAAAGTATAAAACTGTTTTAATTGTCCAAACCAGTACTATGGCATGCTATACCTCTGCACTGGCTTTAACTGCTAGTAGTTAAATTGTTAGCCAGAAAGGGATACTGACTTTACACTTACTACACATAAAATACCATTCTATTACACTAGTGTTCATGAACCAACCCATTCCTTGCTAGACAAATGATTCCTTCTCAACAGAAGCTTTTCCTAAATGTTGAGAGCAGAGTGTTACTGCTTAACCTGTAGGAATTAGGGAATTAACAGAATACATTATGACATAAATACATACAACATAATATAAACATTAAAATTTAAATGTATTTAATTTATATAAAACAGTTACATAGGAATTAGAATCCTCAGATTCTTAACCACAGAATTCAGATTCAACATTTCCACTATTGAAGACTTGTTTCTCATTTACTGGTTGTGATTTTAGCATAAACATCTTCCAGTAACCTTCCTGTCTTTAAAACAGGGATAACCCTTATCCCCTATATCTAGTTGCTTATTTAATACATTTACCTTCCTGTAATAAGGTGGAGATTAGGCATACCCAAAGATATTGAGGGGATCCCAAGAACCTCAGCATCAGACTGGACAGTGTTATTATTTGTGACAAGTGTGCAAATACTACAGGAATTATGTTCATCCTAGAATGACGATGATTTTATCCTGACTCATATCTTGCATTCAGACACAGATAACTCATATTTACAAGGTAAAAATAATTCCTTCTACAAAACTACAGATTTGCTGCCTGCTTCAAATAAGGTAGAATTAGCAAAATTAGTATTTCTGGTGTCACCATTACTTGATTTTTAAGTATATTAACTCACAGAAAGTGTCCTCTATATGCAGCTCTGTGGATTGGCAAATGACCTGAGTGCTTTGGTACATTGGCATCAGCCCCATATTCTAGTAAAAGACTCAGAGAATCTGGATTTCCTCCTCCTGCTGCTTCAAATAACACAGAAGCACAGTCCATTGCCTGTGAAAGAACATCTGCACCTGGAAAGAAGCATCAAGGATTCTCACAGTGGTCACTGCGAATATCGAGCAGTAATTCTCCAACCCTCCAATGACACAGTATTGTGAAGCCTACATGTTGCTAAATCAACCTACTGAGCTGTAAAATAGAACACAGAATAGTTGAGGTTGGAAGGGACCTCTGGAAACCACCCAGTCCAACCCTGTGCTCAAGCAGGGCCAGCTACAGCAGGTTGCCCAGGACAGCATCCATTCAGATTTTTAGTATCTCCAAAGATGGATACTCCACAACTCCTCTGAGTGACCTGTTTGTTCCAATGTTCAACCACCCTTGCAGAAAAAAAGTGTTAGTTCAGACAGAATGCGCCAGGTTTCAGTTGGTGCCTCCTCTTCCTACAACATCCTATAGAATCATACAACGTTCTATAGAAGCCTATAGAATCATCCTATAGCCTTCTTTTCCTACAACATCCTATAGAATCAAGTCTCACCTTTTTGCAGTAAGAGCTCCATAATTTCTGTATGGCCAGCCTGTGCAGCCAGTGCTAGAGGTGTGAGCCCATATCCACTGCGAGGGTCAGGGTCTGCTCCAGAATGAAGGAGAAGCTTTACCAGATCCTTCCTGCCTACTCTGGCTGCCTCATGTAAAGCAGTCCTCTTGTGGACACACTGCAAGTTCACTTTTGCACCAGAATTTATCAACAAGGAGGCAATCTCATATGAATCATGTTTAATTGCTGTAAGACAATAAGGAAAACGTCAACCAGAATGTTATTCCATACTGTTCTATGCACTATGGCTTCTATTACCTCAGGCTGTTCCTGATAGTGCTATTTATGCACTGAGAAATGTCACACTACACTAAAAGGTTTAACTTATCAACAAGTCTATTCGTTTCCAGGATAACATTAACTATACAA